TAGAAAATCAACGTTAATATGTGAAACTTGGATCTGATTGTATATGAACAAAACAAGAACAATAGAAGATGGCGAAATCATATATTGTCGCGAAATAGGGTAGAAAAGGTTGTAGTCCAAATAATTATGAAATTGCCGTTCCATACCATCATTGTCATGAAAATTGTTTTGACGAATATTGTGAAAATAATGGTATAAAGTTCGAGATTGCATGTTAGTTACGTACGGTGTTCCTGTTGTTCATTTGTTTTCCTCTTATAGTTGATGTGTTTCCCTCGGTTTTGGTTTGTAACCCGGATTTTGTTTTCTCTCAATCGATTTATGACTTTTGAACACCGGTATACTACTGTTGCCTTTAATTGTGAAACATAAAAGTGCTTGTAAAAATAAAAATGTTGAAAAGTACAGTTTACATATTAAAAAAAAAGTCAATGTAACATTTATGCTACCATTTATAACATGAATCGCCAAAACTACCACACAGTACAACAGACCACATTAACTACCAACATGCAATTACTCCAAAATAACCCAGATATACCCCCCCCCCCCCCCCCAAAAAAAAAAAAGAAAAAAAATAGATCACAACAAATGACTTGGTACATAGACAAAATGGGGTTATTGACAGATAATTTTGGTTCTAGGTTATTGTTACTATTTTTCTTTTCTTTTTAGTGATTCAACATGTTTTTCTATGTCAATCATGCTTAATCCTCCGTTTGTATAATTTGAACAAACAACAAATCTTTTAAACTTTTCTCGTTTATCATTCCAGATAAAGTTAGATATTACTTTTTTTTGAATTTTGTTACTCTTCATTGATATTGACTACTGATGCTAAAAAGGATAAATTTGGAACTATCAAAGACTTTACAACAACTATTCTAACTCACATTGTAAGCTTTTGTTTAGACAAATCTTTGAGCATTTTCCACAGATTTAGCTAGTTGTTTTTCTACGTTTAGTTTTTCACAATCAATCTTATTATAAACAAAGTATACTCCTAAGTATTTTATTGGTTTTGTTGACCAATTTATATTTTGATATTAATCTAGACTACTTTTCAGTTTTTCTAGCCAAGTACATACAGTTTATTTATGTTCAGTGTAATACTAGATAACGAACCAAGTATCTCTATTATATTCAAGGCCATTATAATGTCTTGCTTAGATTTAAGAAAAAATGTTGTGTCATTTGCATGATCTGCTAGCCGACTTAATTTTCAGTATTTTTCAAAGAATTTGTGTATACAGTGACTACAATATTTTGAGTTGGTTTCAATTTCAAGCTTCTTTTGTATATATGTCCTTTTTTTGTCATGTTGGTTTTGAATATTTGTAGGAAAGTTTTTTTTACGTTTTGCAAATCACCAAGTAAACCATCGTCTCGTGTAAAAAAACTCAACTTAACGTATGCAAGTCTCTATTGCCTGTATATTTCGACCGAGTTTTTCACTCAATGAGAGGCTTCCCAGAAATCAATTGTTTTGATTTTTTAATATTCAGACTTCAGGATTTATTGCAAACAAGAATAACTATCGTTTCTAATGGCGGAATTTGCACTACCCCTGTTGAAAGGTTAACAAAAATAATGTTCAAAGGTTTTGTGCAGATAACAGAATTTTCATCATGAAAGCCGAAGTTTGTCGGGACCATCGATTAACGGAGTTTTGCAGTCAGGTGACAAGCAATACAATGCCCATACCATAAATCAAAACATTGTATTTATTGTATTTTATTCTAATCGTGTAAACGAATCTTTCCTAACTGTTTATTGCTCTTTTTTCTTTCTATAACTGAAACAATAAAAAAAATCAAATAAATGTTCTATCAAAATAGGTAATGTTCTCGAAAATTTTTCTTTTTCATATGTCTGAAAGGTCCATCTTAGAATGTGGAATTTTCACATCTATTTATTGACATTTTAAAACAGATATGATAAATGCTATTTAAAATTGATTGAAAAATGTCAAACGAACTATAGTTTATGATAACATTTTGTGAGGGAATTCGATGTTTGCTATTCCACGGTGAATTTCAAATCACTTTATGACCATACCACTATACCAATCAGAATGATTTTTTTGCAGTGTTTTACGAATTGATTGAACTTTGTATCCATGTATTATTTGTGAAACATTTAATGGTTTAAAAGGGCGAATTTTATGTGTAAAGTCAATAATTATGTAGACTTTTGAAGCCCAAACTTTCCATTGCCTTAAAAACGCAAATGAAAGATATAAAACTACACCAATACAGAACGACATGTTTTAGAGATTATAGCAAAACATTTGGTTGACAAATTTTTATTCGTTATTGCAAAAGATGAACGTAAAATATGTCATTTTTTCCCTACCCAGTTTACCGTTATTACTTATTATGATGTTGACCGGGCATTGCTATTGAATCTAACGCAAATTGATTGGTTTAAATTATTATTAGTTTACCATCAAACTGTTTATTGTTCTCATACACGTATATTGAGTAAACCAGAACGTGCATGAATATTTACAGTAACTTTAATGACCTTCAAACTGACCACTGGACGAATAGATATTATTTTTTATCAATGAAACTAAAGGTATGAAAGGTAAGAATTGCCACTTCTTATATTTTCACACAATTTTCCACATAATTATAGAGAAGATAAATTTCTTTTAATAGCCTATTCCGGAGAAAAAAAAAGGGAAAGTTTACAAATCAGACGTTTTATTCCATTAAACAAGTCATATTTCGAAAAGAAATGCCGGAATACATTTTACACACGGCTACGCCAGGTAAATTATTGTTTATCATAACAAAAAAAAACTTTTTTCAGTCTCAGTATAATGTAGTAAGTACAATTAATCCCAAACAAAAGTAGTCAGTAAATAAAGTTAAAATATGTCCGATCTGCCTATTTTTGGACAGTAAAATTCAATACTATCGTTTGAAGGTCAATTTTGTCTACATCACAAAATCGTGTTAGGCACTATAATAGTTGGTAAACAAAGTGTTAGCTTGCTGTATCATAAAGACAAAGGGAAGATACATAGAAAACATTAAGTAAGTACCTACCGCTGACAAACAAATTTGTAGTTTTCCTTGCAGGAAATATCATGCCAAAAGTATCCATTATAGTTAATCCAAACCAAACAATTCTCTGCTGCTGCTCCGGCTGGTTCATGATTTTTAATATACCAGTGGTTATATGAATCGGCTTTCAATTCTCTATCCAAACCCACCTTCCTTCAGCAAACATATCTGTTCCACCCAACCAAACTCTGTTAGGTATACTGTGCATTAAGTAAATTAAAAAAAAAGTAGAAAAATAGGTTTGAAAGTTTGAAAAGTGATAAAGGAACACATGAAATATAGTAAACTGTTTGATAATAATTGTAAATTTTTAACCTCTTTGAGAATCGGAAATCTCAGATGATCCGATAAAAGGAAAATAACAATAATAAATCGGAGTAAACTAACAAAACATGATGATAAACTTGTATTCACTTTTCAGAGAAAAAGTCATAGTTTTTCTGAATGTTTATTTAACAGATTTAAGAACCTGTTTCAAAATCTCAACTATAATTAATGTAAACTCAGTACATAACATTCATGATCGTCAATACGTTATTTTGTTTAACTACGCTGGTGTAGTTCTGTATTGATGCCAGTAAACTCTTGCATTAAAATAATTATTAAGTAACTCTTTTTTCGTAAATGATAAATTTATTTAATAATCGCACAAAAAAAAAAAAAAGATTTATGTAGTGGGAAAAATTTATGCAGCCTGATAAATGTATATAATTGATAAAAAAAAATCTTTAGTCTTGCGTTTGTTTGTGTTGAATCGTCGGTAGACGATCTGGTATATTTAAATGTCTTGGTTGGTTGTTGTCTAAAGACTTTTATATCATATCTATTACTGTATTTTTTCCTTACTTTGAAAAAAAAAAACAACAGCAAAACGTAAAACTGATGTTAGCTGTTACCTGTTACAGTCTTCAGATGGAAAAATGTACTGAATTGTGTAGTTTCAGGTTTAGACAATACCTCTTTAACTTTATTGTTGAAATCTGCATACGACAATGATGAGAGGTTGATGAACACAGACTTACCTATCTAAAGTGAAATTTGTAAGAATCGTCTTTTTACACTAGTCATTTTGAGGCCCTTTATAGCTTGCTGTTCGGTGTGAGCCAAATCTCCGTGTTGAAGGCCGTGCTTTAACCTATGATTGTTTACTTTTTACACATTGTGAACTGGACGGAGAATTGTCTCATTGGCACTCATACCACATCTTCTTATTTCTTTCTAATATTAAAACAGAGGTTAATTTAAACGCGTGAACGCTCCGACCACTTAAGGTCAATTTACGACCATCGTCTATAGACTGAGGAGTATCGATATAATATGGGGGGGGGGGGGGGCCTCGGTGGCCGAGTGGTCTAAGTAGTTACTACTATAATCACTAGCCAGTCAACACTGAGGTTGTGAGTTCGAACCCCGCTCGTGCGGGTGCACTCGACTCCAATCTTAATTGACTAGGATTGTCGGTTTTCCTATCGAAGGTCGGTGGTTTTCTCGGGACACTCCGGCTTCCCCCACCAATAAAAACTGGCCGCCACGAAATAACCCAAAAGCGATGCTTAAATGTGGCGTTAAAACATCCAAAAATCGAAAAAATCAAAATCGATATAATATGCTTCTCTTAATCACTCAAATATATGAATAAAAGTAACAGAGACAAACTAAATAATCACCAACAACAACAATTTTTAAGGAAAAAACGTTTGATGTGAGTAAAGACATCTACTGACGGGGATCTAGGTTTGGGTCATACACATTTAGAAATGCCGCTTTTTTTTATTTTAATTAGCTCGCGATTTATAAGCTTAATTATTTATATCTTAATATAGCAAATCGAACCAAATGATTTTGAAATATTATTCTTGTTCATATCGCCTGTTGATTGCAATGGCACAAAATATGCCCAGTATAAATATAGAGAATTGAACTTACCGTTTGTCATTGACTTGATAAATTTCATTTCATCAGAATTTGATACAGTTGTAAGAAAGCCGCCACGTGAATAACATACACTCTACAATTTGTAAGACAAATACACGTTTAGTATTGTCATTTTGTTTAACATTTTCTTCTGATCTTTTGGGTTTACTTGAAGTAATAAGATTGACAATTTCACTTAACTGTTATAAGATAAAATCTCTAAAAGCAGACCCGTGTAAGGAAAAGCTCGTTTAACTATTATGTCACAATATCTAACTATCGCTGAATACAATGGATTAGCCACAAAAAAATCATTGAACTTGCCTGGAAAAGAGAGGCAAACGATACCAAAGAGATATTCAAACTCGTAGGTCGAAAACAAACTGAAAATAAAATGGCAAAAAACGAAAAACGACGAAAATACAAACAGTACACAAAACACAACATAGAAAACGACAGACTGAACAACAGGCACCCCACCAAAAACCGCGGTTGATCTAAAGGTGCTCAGGAAGGGAAAGCAGATCCTGATCCACATGTAATATCCGTCGTGTTACTCCAATAAAACACGTTGATAAGTTATGTCAAGTGATTTGACATCACGCAAAAGCGAACTGGTAATTGAACCTGATATAATCCTAAGACCAAACGATAGACCATCGGTCATGTAAAATGTTTAACCCTGAAACTTATCTCAATGTGAAATTTTGAAATTGAAACAAGTTTTTCATGACAAAGGTTACAGGAGACTGTTACCGGTATAAACAACACAAACAAAAATTGAAACCACACAAAGAACAACACTTATAAATAAAGCAAAAGCAACATGAACCCCTTTAAAACAAAAAATACGGGTGATCTCAAGTGTTCTGGAAAGGTAGGCAGATCCTGCTCCACATGTGGAACTTGAGTGATGTTTTGATTTTATTTTGCCAAAAATATTGCCAATTAACTTAATATAGTATGATATGGTACCTGAGCTTCCATCCATGTCATGTGTTGATGGACCAGCATAAAGTCTTTATTTCGATACTTCACCCACATGTGGTCATTATGGCCGTCTGTAATAGAATATCATTATGAAAATAGTATTGTAATGCAATTTGTTTGTAACGATAAAGGAACTGTTTAGGGCTAAACTGTGCCACTTGTAATATGAAGTGTCGTAAAAAATCATATTCTGGCATTGACAGTCTTCATGCACTATTATTTTGAAATTGTCAAAAAAAAAAAAAAAAATAGGTCTGTGCGGAATATTTTCAACGTTTGTACATGTATGCCTTGAACTTCCAATAGTTCAAATTTCAGCTAAAATTATGTACTACCCCCCCCCCCCCCCCTCCCCCTCCCTTTACTTTTAGTCTTCTTGAGAATTAATTTTTCCACTCTTCAACAGATTTTGTACAGAAAAAATTCCCATCTTGTGACTATAAGAGATAAAACATGGAGATCATATTTGGGAATAGTTATCAAAGGTACCAGGATTATAATTTAATACGCCAGACGCGCGTTTCGTCTACATAAGACTCATCATTGACGCTCAGATCAAAATAGTTATAAAGCCAAACAAGTACAAAGTTGAAGAGCATTGAGGACCCAAAATTCCAAAAAGTTTTGCCAAATACGGCTAAGGTGATCTATTCCTGGAATAAGAAAATCCTTAGTTTTTCGAAAAATTCAAAGTTTTGTGAACAGGATATTTATAAAAATGGGAACAGTAGCTATAGGTAAACAAAACAAAATATATCTATGAAAAAGATATCAAAAAGAGACGTTGTTTTTAAATCAGTTGTATTTATAAAGTGCAACCCATAGTTTTTAACATTAATTATGACAATAAGATTTAATATTTTGAGTGCATGTTCCTGCCATTAATAATTCGCCGTACCAGACAGTTCTTCACAATGTGAAATTCCAATTCGAGTACACGAAACTGAACTACGTTTCGCCATTTTATCAAGTAATCTTCAATAAAGCAACGGAAAACAATTTAATGAATACGAATACGAAGACTTTTATAAATTCAATTAATGTTTCCGAGCATATTCATAGATTAATATTATTCATACAGTAATTTAAAGTTATATTACATTGAAAATAAGTGAGAATTCAATTTGTTCGCTAGCCAACTGGCCACCTATATACTGGTAAAATTCCCAAGTTGTGTGTCTATGAGATGAAAGATGGAGGTTATATCAGCCAGTCAACAAAACAAAATATCTTATATGTATTTACAAAGTGGAACCTATAGTTTTTAAATACCAATTATGACAATAAAATTTTATTTCTTGAGTTCATGTTCTGGCCATTTATAATTCGCCGTATCAGACTGTTAATCACAATATCAAATTCCATTGCTAGTACAAATAACTGAACATACGTTTCGCCATTATATTGATAATCTTCAATAAAGCTTTACAAAACAATTTAATTAAAACGAATACGAATATTTTATAAAATCCAAATAGGAGGCCCGTTTCCGAGTATATGCCACCTCTCGAAACAAAAACTGATTTTTATCAGCTATAGTTAGAGGAGGAGATATGGCGTCTGCGCAATGCTAAGCGGTGTTGTCGTAGAAGTGAGAAGTGAATAGTACTGGTTTCAGCAATTGTTAGGGAGGAAGTAAAGAATCAGATCTACTGCAACATCGTTAAGTTGATTTTCTAGGCACTTTATAAATATTATAAAGCCTGGTATTTCTCAATCATTATCAATCTGATGGACAAGGTATAATTTGCAGGTGTCACTACACATAGGCAGACATATATATATATATAAATAGTATTAATCATGCAGTAATTTTAAGTTATATCACATTGAAAATAAGTCAATAAATAACAATAGTCCATACAAGATGGTGTATAAAAATGAACAAAACCCAACCCTTTTTAATACATAGAACATAAGTTACATGCATATTTAGTTAATGAAATGAGACATCTCTCTTATTTCAAAACAAGTTCTAATAAATCTTTACACTGATGTGCGCCTTTGTTGTTTTGTCCTGGTTTATGTCCTAGTAGTGTTGACAGTGCTTTGGTAGCCACTTCATATCTTCATATTTTCCTGATATTTAATGACAAATTATCTCTATCTCTTTGTTTTAGGTTTTGTTTCTTCTCTTTCATTGTTTTTTCTTTGTGAAAATGGTAATCTTACAAAAAGTAAACGTATGAATACACTAGTAAATGAATTTTAGTCGTAAACATCACATTTGATGTTAACATCATCTGAAAAGTCTTGTAAAACGTTTTTGTTACGGAGACTACTATTTCAGTGGTACAGCCTTGGCATCAGAATACATTAGAGATTGTATTGCAAGAAGTGTATTCAAGAAATTAGAGAGACAGACAGGGGAGGCTTTGTTGTCAGTGATCACTAAGGGTTGATACGGTTTTATAGTACTTTGTGTTATTTGTTTTTACATTAACTTTATGATTGTACTTTAGTTTGTTTCAGAGTTTACTCCTTTAAAATGACAGGAATGTCAGTTTACACTGAGGGGAGTGTGTGGCAGAGTCATATTTGATGGTTAATCAAATATGATTAGTATTAGTTAAAATAGTTTGCTTATTATATTTGATACAGCTATGATTTTTAGTCTTAAGTATCCAGTTTCATAGTTTACTTTATTCGACCTCAGTCATTTCCCTATACTAATTCAGTTTTGAAGGGAAAGTTCTGGTCATTTTATTGGTCACTTATGAGTTCATATTGATTCCTTTTTTATCATTCAATTTTTTGTGACAGTATTGTGACTTACTTGTTTTATTTAGCCTTGGTGACATTTTGACAATATTTGATATACTTGACTTCTATTCGTGATTTTTCTGTCCCAGCGTAGGCGCCAAAATATAGCGGATGCCAAAGGATCAAATAACTGCATTGGTTTCTGTCTGGGGTTCTTCGTGATTGTATTCACACTGCATGTAATTATTAAACCCTACAGCATATATAACAATAATAAAAACACATTACATAGACAGCACATAACAACATAAAAAATAACTATATACAAAATATTTAAAGATAAAAATGATTTTACAACACCATTATTAGACCACGTTAATCTTACTGAGGATAACCTGTCAACTGATTAACTACAGACAGGAAAAGACTTTACCACATCTTACAGTGACATATTCCCGAAGAGCAACATTGATGTTGGTCACACTCACATGGTGAAACATCAAATAGACCTTGATGATTCAACACAATTTAAACAACATTAGAAAGGATTCCGCCATCTATGGATGAGGAGGTCATAGGTCACATCCATCAACTACATAAAGCTGGTATCATCAGGAAGTCGTTTAGTCTATACTAATCTAACTTAGTAATAGAACACAAGAAGGACAAAACTCCGAGACTATGTGTGGGTTTTCGCTCTCTCAACATTAAGACGAAAAAAGATGCCCCCGCTTGGACTCGCATAGAAGATATATTAGATTGTTTTGCAGGAAACCGATACTTTTCAGTGATCGACTTGAAATCTGGATATCATCAGATAGAGATAAAAGAAGAACACACGGAGAGGACAGCCTTTACAGTTGGTTAACTGGGATTATATGAGTATAACCGCATGACATTTAGACTCACCAACTCTCCAGCAACCTTCCACCGGTTGTACAAGACTGTCCCCATGATCTACACAAGAACATATGCTGCATATTTATTGATGATGTCATTATTTTTTCAAAGGCATATGAGAACATTGAGAACATTTGGATCAAGTCTTTGAAAAAATCAGAGAAGCTAATTTGAAGTTATCACCAGGAAAGGATGCTTTCTTTTAATCACGAGTGAAGTATGTAGGCCACATAGATTCTGACAAAGGTATAGAGACAGACCAAGCAAAGATAGATCTTATACGTATTTGGCTAACTCCAACAACACGGGAAAAAGTAAGGAGGTTTATTTGTTTCGCTGGATATTATCAAAGGTTTATCCATCACATCAGCCAGGTTGCGAGACCACTTACCGATTTGATGCCAACAACAAAAGCAAAGATGGGGAAAAAAATAAGACAGAAAGCTTTGTCAGAGAATTGATAAAGATAAAGCCCCAAACAACATCGTTTTTGTGTGTAAATATCATTACATAAACTGCTTGATAAATGAATTAGGTATTGACAATTCACTTGGAAACTCAACATATACCCTCACGACACTTACCAAAGAGGAAATCCTGGATAATCATAGGCCTGTTCTATGTTCCTTTGGAATTTCAACCAAAGATGAAGAACTGGATCTTCCATCACTGTATTGGATACCTAAACTACATAAGTGTCCTTACAAACAACGGTATATTGCTGGGTCTTCCAAGTGCTCCACGAAACCTCTTTCTAAATTATTAACATCTATTTTATCAGCAATCAAAGCCGGGCTCCAAAGTTATTGTGAAACTACCTATTCTAGAGGTGGCGTGAATCAGATGTGGATACTAAAAAATTCCAAAGATCTTTTAGAGTACATACAATCTAAGACTCTCTCAACTTGCAATAGTATTAAAACATTTGACTTTTCTACACTTTACACAAGTATTCCCCATTCCAAACTAAAAAACAAATTGAAAGAGTTGGTATTACTTTGTTTCATTAAAAAGAATGACGAACGTAGATAAAAGTATCTTGTCTTGGGGAGGGATAAATCCTACTCTGTAAAGAATTACTCTGACTCAAACAAAAATTTTTCTAACACTGACATTATCAAGATGCGTGATTTCTTGATTTCTTAATTTTCTTAATTTTGGGGTTCGTGTTGTTTAGTCTTTAGTGTTCTATGTTGTGTCATCTGTACTATCATTTGTCTGTTTGTCTTTTTATTTTTGGCCATGGCGTTGTCGGTTTGTTTTCGATCTATGAGTTTGACTGTCCCTCTGGTGTCTTTCGTCCCTCTCTTGAAAAAAGACCTGATTCAGCTCCAATACTAGTACTTGGCTATGTAGATCATTAGAAGTCATTTGAGTTGCATACAGCTGCTAGTTGTCTAGCAAAAGGAGCGATATTACATCAGGGACATGAAGGTCATCAACAGATTATTGCATATGTCAAGGATTGACTAAAGCCGATCGACATTATCCAGCTCACAAGATGGAGTTTCTAGCCTTGAGTTAAGGACAAGTTTCATGATTACCTCTATGGACATCCTTTCCGTGTACTTACAGATATCAACCCGCTTACATATGTATTGGTTATAATCGTTAGCTGTACATGTATATGATTTTGACATCACATATTGTCCAGGAAAGAACAACGCTGATGCAGATGCATAATCAAGATTACAAAATCAGATAAGGGAACAGTAATATCCAAGGATTCGACAAAGGCTATCTGCTGAGTCATATCAACACCGTTTGTTGATACATTAGAAGTAACACCTGATGTTTTGGATACAGCCAACATTGCAGATATAAGACAACATTGATTGGACATAGTTACATGTTTCATAAAAAAGAAAGGCCAACGTAGATATAAGATTATGTCTTAGATAGGGATAAATCCTATTTTGTAAAAAATCACTCTGATTCAAACAAAAAAATCTCTGAAACTGACGTACCAAGATGCTTGATTTCTTAATTGACAAAATATTTGTTACGTTTGGAGGACGTGTTTTTCAACAAACTATCGGCATTCACATGGGAACCAACTGTGTCCCTCTTTTTGCCGACTTGTTCCTTTATTCTTATGAAGCTGACTTCATACATGAGCTTCTTAGGAAGAAAGAAAAGAAGTTAGCAGTATCCTTTAACTTTAATTTCCGCTATAAAGATGATGTTCTCTCACTAAATTATTCAAAATTTGGTGACTATGTTGAACGCATCTATCCTATCGAACTAGAGATAAAGGATACAACATATAAAGTTAAATCTGCCTCATATCGTGAATTACATCTAGAAATTGACAACGAGGGTCGGTTGAAAACAAAACTTTACGACAAAAAAGATGGTTTTAGCTTCCCAATTGTGAACATTCCATTTCTGTGTAGCAACATTCCATTAGCGCCTGCATACGGAGTATATATATCCCAATTAATACTAAATTTCCGGGCTTGTATTTCCTATCATGATTTCTTTGATAGAGGGTTGCTGCTCACAAGGAAGCTAAATGATGAAGTTGAAATCATTCTTTCGTACATTTTATGGACGCCATCACGAGTTGGTTGACCGTTAAGGAATATAGGTTTCACAGATGATAGCGGATATGTTCCTAATGTCGTAACTACAACTCCGTTCCCATTTCACGAATGTGGGCTACCGAATTAGACAATTTACCGGATTTGTACTCACATGAGCAACACGACGGGTGCCACATGTGGAGCAGAATCTGCTTCCCTTCCGGAGCACCTGAGATTTCCCCCAGTTTTTGGTGGGGTTCGTGTTGCTAAGTCTTTAGTTTTCTATGTTGTGTTTTGTGTACTTTTTTTTTCTGTTTGTCTTTTTCTTTTAAGCCATGGTGTTGTCAGTTTATTTTCGATTTATGAGTTTGACTGTCCCTCTGGTATCTTTCGCCCATCTTTTACAGCAGTCAGATTCAACCCTCCCCTAACATGGGACAGTGGTGTAACAGCACAACATAAGAACAAACTTTAAAAATCAGTTAAAAAGGCTTAAATAAAGGCAACAGTAGTACATGTATACCGCTGTTCAAAAGTCATAAATTGATTGAAAGACAACAAATCCGGATTACAAACTAAAACCGAGGGAAACAAATCAACTATAAGAAGAAAACAACGGAACAACAGAAACACTGAAGTGTGTCTCACTCATCAGATCAACACAAGATCGATTCAAACAAAAACACCAAACAAAAACACAGACAGGACTTGGCAGGGTATATATTCATCCCTCATCCCTAATAACAACATAAAACATTAAGTACAGGTCTTAGAGTACTCGCAGTTACTGACAGCTAGTTCAAAGCCAATAAAAACTAAAACATCAATCATAGATATAAGAAGATGTGGTATGAGTGCAAATGAGAAAACTCTCCATCCAAGTCAAAATTTGTAAAAGTAAACCATTATAGGTCAAAGTACGGTCTACTACACATCAAATATCCAATGGATTTAGTGTAAAGACGTCAATATTCAGGGAAAACATGACATTGGGCAATGTCAAAATATAGGTATCGACAGATAGTAGCATCGTGAAGGTATATATGTGTAATATTTAGTATGGTTTTAATTTACTGATAACAAAATCAATATTTATACCAATAAACACTATATTCAAAGATTTAATTACAGTATTGAATATGTAACCTTTTAGAATAAGTTTTTGAATAGCATGTGTAGTTTAAATTTTATATCAAACGTTCACAGTTTATAGTTTAAGTGATGCTTAAACTCATTAAAGATTCAAGGTCAACATATGAATCATCAGCAGTAACGTTCTAATCAAACCAGTAAAAAGGCTAATTCAATTAAAAAGTTGAAGAGCACTAAGTACCAAAATATTCTTAATACTTGAATACTGGCTTGAAAATAAGGATATTGATTGAATTTAAATTTTTTGATATAAAATTTCGAAATTATTTTAAAATAAGGAATGTATCTCCCACATGTATTGTGATTGTAAGATTTCTTGTCTCGATCATCGATGAAGAGGGATTTATTGTGGAAATGCGAATCTAGTGAAGTAACATTGGTACCGTTAATGGTAGTACTACCATCAGGTCGATACCTCTGCTAGAGTACTGTTGGTACCCGAGAGTAACACTAGCCCAGGAGCCATACTGCATACGTCTGATTTATTTGGGATTTTCCTTGAATTCGTTTTGGATTCCTCAGCTCTTTAATTTTGTATTACGTTTAACTGATATTCAACGTCCGAGCATAGCAGCACTGACTTCCAACTGACACAAATGATATTCAGTTTGTTATATTATGTTCCAAAATAAATGCTTGAAAAAAAAACTTAAAAAAAAATAAGGATAAAGGTTCAAAAATTTTAATTAACGATCTATTGCTTTACATGGAAAGGAATCATATAAATTTTAAGCACTTACCCTTATAATCAGTATCATATCAGTAAAGATAGATTGATTAACAAAACACTCATGTGCATTATTAGTTTTTCGTGCAATCTGTTTTTCTGAACTATTTCTTTACTTTTTACATTTTACTGTAAATGAAATGAATCAGTCTTTTAATACTTTTAATACAAAACAAAAATGAATAAAAATTTGTTGTTTTCGTCATTGCTATTCTATAAACCTCTTTTCTATACACGATGTACCAAGTCAGGAATATGATAGGTTTGGTGTGTTTGAGCTTTTAATTTTGCTATTTAATAAGGGATTTTCGTTTTGAATTTTCCTTGGAGTTCGGTATTTTTGTTATTCCATTTTTTCCTATTCCTGTCTTTACGTTGAAATCAAAAGACATAACCAGCTCATGTATAGGATCAACAATGTGCAGCATAAAGGAAAAATACCAAATGTCTCGCTATTAGATTCTGTTTATTTCTGTTATGCATTGAACGTGCGGGATAGTTTCTCCCATACGTATGGTGACTATTTATCTGAATTATTACCCCTTCCAAACGACATCTTCTTATTATAATGAATTACTAAAATAGAGACAGCCCTTGGCCAAAATATTTGTAAGAAAGACAGCTAGATACCATAAACATATTAATGTATACACAGGGTCTGAGCTTGTTTTGCTATATGATATAAAAACTAAATTGACAAAAGAAGGTCATTTATTTTTAAAAACATAAAATGCAAAAAACATATACATTTTGCAAATAAAATATTTGACATAAAAGTTCATAATTAATATGAAATTATAATGCATAATTAATACGAAATTACTACAACTAAAATCATATCGATTGAATAAATGTCAAAGAATAGCAAAGGTTGGGAGAGAAATCTGGCCCAGTAATAAACATATATACATATCTACTTCTAAAGATAAAATTAAGGGAGGTATGCGGGTTGGAATTTTTCACAAATTGTTTGAAAAGAATTACAAGTTAACACGTCAAAGGCTGATGATAAAAGGAAGTGAACACAACGCACTTACACGTGAACTCGTGCTGACCCAGCAAGATCATAACCAATAAGAAAGATGTAATCCAATCATGCACTGGTCATGAGTGAAATGTATTTTCACGTGATAACATGTTATCTAATTTCAACAATTTATAGTTTAATTAAGTAGGACAACTCTGACCCATTAACCAGACCAGAGACATCATAAATTTACAGTATAAACAGCTCAATCTTTATTTAAGTCTGAGTAATAAACAATTATTACAGAATTATCTTCTCTGCTGTCTTAAATGATTTTATTCAGCTTAATATTCAATTAGCAAATAAAATTGGTTCTTCTGTAACATTAAATGAAAAAAAAAACGGTATTCATTGTATATCCAAATGTTTGTTCTGCATATGCTTCTATTGATACTGTTTAGCATAGGTTTGACAAGTGAAACACGAATAGAATGAATCTCCTACCCAATTGACGTACCTTTTCACGCCATTTTAGAAACAGATAGATGTTTGTGAAGACCAACCAACTGGTGAAAACGCAGAAGATTATTTGTTCTGTATAATGAATATGATACAGCTGACAAAATCAGGGTTTTGGGCAAGTCATAAAAGAAATGGTGGAATATTCTTGCGTATTATTTGACAGGTGAATGTAAGTAAACATGTTTCATACAGTTTGCTACAACAAAATGTGTTGATTTGAGTTCATGTCATATGCTTCTGAAAAGGGCATTAGGTATAAATAGACTTTAAAATGGGCACAATTTCGTATAGCACCCCACCATATTAAAGAAACAACATAGCTTATTAGAGAAAGTACACCACTAATTCATGGCCCCATTGCATTTTATGTTAAATTCCTCAATTTTACAGCTCTTTTGTTTTAAGTTCAAATAAAGAAACACTCAGTGCATTTCAAAGCATCACTTTATGTTATCTATTTTTCGTTTTTCTTTTTGGGCTGCTTGTTTGTTATCTTATTGTTTGTATTGTATTATGAAAAATTATTGATGTTGTAATGTTTATGCCCTTTGGGGCCCATAATTGGAAATAAAATATCTTATCTTATCTTATCTGTTGTCTTGTACTGAAAAAATTAACATACCTTTAATGGCTTATAAGAGAGAACTGGTTCCCGGAACTTCGGATGTACAAAGACAGGTAATTCAGATCTGACAAAACAGGCAAAATGTACCCTCCTTTTTAAATTTCAAACGAATTTTATATTATCCAAAATTATACGTCAAAAAACATCAATTCAGCTTTCATTTGATATCAAAATTATCTACATATTCTACATATTTTGAAAGTTACACCCATGCATAGGAACTATTTTGTGGTAAATATGTAGTACTTTCTGGTATGTGCTTTCTGACCGGGCCGGAATAAGGGATGTTACACCTAAAAAGGTTAATAAATGTTCATACTAATTCTGTACACTCTGTAAGTGTTTTTTGGTGACAGTATTTGGAGTAATGCACTAATGTTCTAATACGTGGTTTTGTGAATTTGCCAATACATCAAAGAAACTGTCCTTTTGTATTTTGCGTTTGTGAGGCCAAAGCTTAATACAGTTTTGAAACCTTCATCGCGTAACAATGACCTTAAAAAGTTGAACCTCTGAACTTTACTGAGTTTGGGTTTGAATGTACAGCTGCTGCGTACGAGCCCCTATAGGACTGTCATTGTAAAATATCAAAATTAAAAGTTTGTAGATTGAGGTTAGGGGTTGTACTCGCTGGCAACTAAAAATATGATCGGAAATCTGAATAAAACTGTCTGTAGAGCTGATTTTGTGTGCTTGGAGGATTACGAGGATTTGATTGCGGAACATCAGACCTAGAGTGTGTAAACCTTGTGGCATTTGTATATTTGTGAAGTGATGAATTTGGTTTTTGGCGAATGTTTGTTTCTTGATTAAAGGAATACTCATCTGAGTTTACGATTTTTGTTTCAATGTCCTCTTGGTTTAAATTCTGACTAATGTCTTCATTTTATTTCGTCAACAACTCTTGTTTTTATTTCAAGATGTTCAAAAATTCAGTGGAGTCAACAAGTTCTGTTCCGCTCTCCCAAATTTCGTCGAATTTCTTGAAGATTCCTGTTACGGTCCATCTTTGTCTGCATGAATCGAATTCTTCTTCGAATGCATCATAGACGAGATCAATATTGCTTATTGGTTACATAGGACAAATGTAAACATAGGCGTGATGCATATATGGATATTCAAACTCTGTTATCAATTTAAAATCCGTTACAAGATATAGCGACAGCGAGAACGTCGTGTTTGAGTGTTTTGAGAGGTCAACAATAACTCTTCAAATACAGAAGATTGTCGACACAATATGTCACACTCTTATTCTATAAAAGTTGAAATTATAACTTACTAGAGCCTCCTAATTAGGACAGTGTGAGCCATTTCTTATCTTTACATCACAGCCACTTGCTATAACAGATACAGATACAAATTTCCCTTTATCCTTGTTTCCAATTTTTCATATTAAAATTTTGAACAATATAAAACTGATGTTCATTAAAAAGAGCACGACAACTCTTGCAATCGAATCAAAAGTTGAAATGAGAAGTCACAAATGCTCGATATTTGACATATTTCTTTTCTTTGTGTATAATCAATGCTTACCGGGAAAATATTTAATTAACAAATGAATTGTTTTTGCAAAACATTTTCCACTTAATCTTATTTACTTCATCTTTTTATCTTCATTTCGTGCGAGTGCAAATAGATAATTAATTTTAAAATCAAAGAGTAACGTATACACGTTACATAACACACATAACTAGTGTTATTTTACCAACACTGGAAGAGATTGTGATAAATCACGGTTGACATGTAAAGATTACAAATTAAAAAGATAAAGGCATTCAACTGAAACATTTTATACACTCATTTTAGTGTGTGTTGATATGTGTGTTTTACAAGAATTAGGACACTAACCGCAATTTATCATGCTTTCCAAAGTAATAGTTTTGTGTCTTGGTTTAATATTAGCGGCATTATTTGGACAGAGAACAGATCCGGATATTTTTCTACACGTGAAATTAAATTCTTCATATGATTATATAATTGGTAAGAAGTCTACTATTGTCAATAACTTCTGTTGTTTGAATGTTTGTATGACTAACGTCATGGGTGATGTATTAGCTTGGTGTACAAACTAAAATTACAGATTTTATCTGTCATTTGATATTCCATGGTTTTGGACACAAATGCCAGCTTGATATGATGGTAACATTCTATTTTATCAAACTAATATGCGTGTCCATTATAGGTACATGTTATATGGAATTATTACGATTGATCAGATTAGTTGATATTGCAAGTATATTAAGTATACCTATTATATGTCTTCGCTGTTTGAATAGGATAGGTGTGAAATGAAGATTGATTCTCTTATGGTCATTGATATATATATCAAATAAAACATTTATTTACATCATAATACAGAAAAGAAAACTAAAGATTCATGTTCAGGGCGACGGGGAATACTAAACATTCAGGCATACAAAAGCGCTAAAATAGAAGTGTGCCTGGAAAAGTCCATTAAAACTTACTGATCCTTTAATTCAACTTGTTCTAAAAGGTTATCAATTTAACACTGTAAATATAACTAAATATTATTGCTATACATCTATGAACATTTACTGTCCAACATTCTTTAGATACCTAAATTTTGGCATTGCACAATAGCATGTTTTGTCTGACAGTTAATGACGTCTTTACACTAAAATCATTGGATGTGAACTGATTGATATTTTAGTCTTGAATACATGATTTATAATAGTTATTGGCTCTGAACTAGCTCTCAGTATCTGCGAGTACTCTCAAATTATTATTTTGTGTCTTAAGTCTTTTTGTTGGATTATATGCAGTTGTGCCAATCTGTTGAGTGGAGCCTTTTTCACTGATTTCAATTGCTCTTTTGTTGTGCTGTTACACCAATGTCCCAAGTAAAGGGGACGTTTGTGCACCTGGACCATGTTTGACCCCGCCACATTCTGTATGTGTCTGTCCAAAATGAGGAGCCTGTAATCTATTGGTTGTCGTTTATTGCTTCATATCATGTTTGTTGTTCGTTTATTGTGTTGTACCTTAATAAGGCCGTTAGTTTTCTCGTTTGAATTGTTTTACAATTGTCATGTCGGATCTTGCTAGGCGGTATTGGTTTTGCTCATTGTCGAAGGCCATACGGAGACTTATATTTTATAACTTATAAATAATTTAGTCTATGTTGGAAAATATTCTCATTTGCAATGCTTCTAAATTGCCAAATTAATATTTAACCTGCAAGCTGACTATAGAATAACAACAACTACGAGAGACATCATTATTTGATTCAAAGTAAGGTAGCTAGATGGAGAGAACATCGTAATTTCTTTTTTCACTTTCTTGTATTTGAATTTCGTTAAACTAACATATTGATATTAATATCTCATACTTTTTATTATCAATCACTTATATTTGTATATAAATTGTTTTACAGTCGGAGCAGGTTCAGCCGGTTCAGTCATTGCTAACAGATTATCAGAAGATACAAATGTAACAGTGTTATTGGTAGAAGCGGGAGGTTCTGAATTAGAACACGATTACATTCCTATTCCCCTAGCAACACCCCTCCTTCAGCAAACAGATATTGATTGGTCATTCTATACAGCTCCACAACAGACAGCACTCAAAGCGATGAAAGAACAGGTTAAACATTTTTTCGTAGAAAAGAACGATGATTGATAACGGACTATACGTTATTGAAATTTACCAAAGAATTCGCTGATATTGTCCATTTCTTTGCATTATCAGTCACGAATATACCCGGATTTTGATGAGGTTTGTGTTGCCTAGTATTAAGTTGTCTATTTAGAGTTTTGTAGACTGTTGTGTTTGACATTTTATGGTTTTACTTTTTTTGCCATGGCGTTGTCAGTTTCTTTTTAATTTATGAGTTTTGAGTGTTCCTTTGTATTTCCCGCCTCTTTTATTATTCATTGACTTTCAAATATTCGGCTTTGAGCATTCCTGATGAAGGTAAATCCAGAAAAGCGCTTCGGACGCATGCAATTTATAATTGTTGTTTTCATTTTTTACATCACTGGGTCGATACCTCTGCTGGTGGACTATCAGTCCCCGAGGGTATCATCATCTTAGTAGTCAGTACTTCGGTACTGACATGATTTATAACAAACCTTTCTAAAATTGTCCGTTTAAAAATTTTGAAATTATGAAGAAACTTAGGTTTCAACTCCCTCGTGCAAAGTTGGCCTTAGATGAATTTGGTTATTTTTATAGCTCTTCAACTGTTTCGGTTTTATTCATCCTTGACTTTCAAATATTCGGCTTTGAGCGTTCCTGATGAAGGTAAATCCAGAAAAGCGCTTCTGACGCATGAAATTTATAACGTGTTGTTTTCATTTTTTGATTAAGAACAAAGAATATATATATTCCACCGAAAACTGAATTATTAGTTTAGTCCAGGTGGCCAAGTGGTCTAGAGCGATGGACACAGTGCAGGCGGTTTTGTCTCAATAATCCAATAGCATGAGTTCGAATCCCCGCGAGGGAAGAACAAACATTTGCTTCAGGATATTTGCATCTTTAACATTGCTGTGCTGGTATTTAGAGTAATTATGAATATAATATGTGTTTTCAGTAGTGTATCACCTTCACTGGTGATCCAATGGATGGATCTGTCGTAGAATTGTCACTTGTTTAGACGTACTTATCAAAATAATTATTTCTGTGACTGCATCTTACGATCCTTTACGATAGATATTTAGCTAATCTGCAATCAATTCCATCTTCATGCCCAATATATCATGTACTGTGTTACAACTCTAGATTCTACTGACGAGGAAAGGTAACACTAGGCCACCGAAAACGGAATTATTAGTTCAGTCCAGGTGGCTGAGTGGTATAGAGCGATGGACACAGTGCAAGAGGTGTTGTCTCGATATCCCAATAGCATAAGTTCGAATCCCGGCCAGGGAAGAACAAAAATTTGCGTCTTCAAATTTGCAGATTTAACATTGTTGTGCTGATATTTAGAGTAATAATGAATATATATATGCTTCGTTTGGGCTTGTATTATATTTGCCTTAGGGTTTATATGATCCGTTCATCATATTTTGACTCCTCACAATTCAAGAGTCTATCCTAAATTGAGGTAAATTGTTGGGCTTTCCAAATACCGTTTCGATTCCTAACATCACTGAAGATTATTTGTCGAAATCCGGATATGGTGTACAAAAAACCTTTGCACCTTTTGTTTGTGGTATATCATTTTTTCCACAAGTTTATTGTTTTCTGTTTAGTATTAAATTTAAAATTAAGATCCATTTATTACATCGGTGATCCGTTTATTTGGCAATCGTCAATGGCAGTCAGCAGGGTTTAAGAACATTTGTTGTTCAACCTGTTAGTCAAATGCGTTTTGTTAAAATATACTTTTTCACTTTTTTTGGTCTTTTGGAAAATGTTGTTTGTGCTGTATTTAGACCCCTCTAACAAGAAATTTGTTTTGCATGCACACGTATAAAAATTGCGGTTTTTATCCAACGCGATCATAGGTTTGAACGTTGCTTTCAATTTAGACTTGTTTTTATATATATATGTATATGGAACAATTAAGTTTTGAAAAAATCTTCCTTTTTTCTTTCGTGAATTGATAAATAGTATTTTTTTTGAAGAGGTTGTGAGTGGGGGTAAGAGGGGATTGAAAAAATAAAACATTTCATTGCAATAAACTCGCTGAAGAAATTATAAGTCTAGGTATAATGGTTTAAAATTTTTAATTAACGACTAAAACTGCGATTTCATCATCTATAAATACTTGTTCTCATAATGAAAAAGGGGAATATATCATAGTCATTCAATAAATCAGCCTATCACTCGCAAAAAGTAAACCATGCTAAAATGCCTAAGGACATTTAAGTAAACAATTTCAGAGCTAAGGTACAAAAAAATCAAATCGCCAATAAAGCCAGATCAATTTGTAATTTTCACTTACATAACTAACCATACTATATTCGAACTTACGTCAATTGGGCGTGTAAAAGGTATCTGTACTTAATAGTTTTTTTTTCAAAAAATGAATAGGAAATTATGCTAGATACATTTATTAGAAATGTGATGATAGTGTTGAAGCTTTAAATTTTCTCCTGGACAACATATATTAACGCTTCGGCGTTAAAGTGTACCGACAGGTAGTATGTATTCCAATGGGCACTAATTGTGCCCCTTTGATAGCAGATGTATTCCTTTATTGCTATAAATCACAGTTTATGGCCAAACTCAGTAAAGACACGTCATTGTTACATTTGGTTGACACATTCAACAATACCTACCGTTATCTTGATGATATCTTTTCGTTAAATAATCCAGAGTTCTCTAGATATACTACCGAAATTTACCCAAAAGGAACTTACTTTAAATAAATCTAACATAAACAGCAGTAGTTGTCCTTTTCTAGACATTTCAATTTCTAAAGGAAAACTCCATTCTAATATTTACGACAAAAGAGACGATTTTTCATCCCTATTGTAAATTTTCCTTTTTAGTCGACGATGTTTCTTAGGCTCCATCAAACGGTATATATATATATCCCAATTCGTTCGTTATGCCCGTGTGTGTAGTAATGTCAAAGATATTAATGAACGTAATCACTGCATCACTGTCAAATTATTAAGTCAGGGTTTTCGTTACTATAAATTACTTAAAACATTTAAATTCTTTCATAGATGCAAAGATTTGGTAAGAAATTTGGCTGTACCTGTAGAAAACTTATTAAAAACGGTATTTTCACATCCTAAATTTTACGGTAATATTGTACTCAAAGCGCGGAAATCACTATGTGATCCGTGTAAACTCATCAAACCTTTAAACAAACTTAATAGTAACGGTTATCTTATTAATGTTGTAATAAGATCTTTGAATATTGGCAATAACATTGATTTTGTCATTATAAACATAACTAAATTTGTATTATTTTCGAAAGTCTTTTTTTTTTGGAAGGGGGGGGGGGGGGGGGGGGGGGGGGAGGGGGGGGATTTAAAATACACATCCACTTTTATTTTCTATTTAGAAATTGCTTTATCTATATGTTATATATTATATTTCGTCTCACTATTTTTAATATGTACCACCTTTGATAAGTAGTAATTAGGACGATAAATTTTCATTTCTGTACTCGTACTGTGTTTCCGTACTCCTAACAACAAAATTATTCTATTTAAATTTACCTGTGTACGTTACTTGATTTAACGCAATTTTGTCACAGGTTAAAGTTGTCTTTTTGACATTGTTCTACATCTTTTTTTTTTATTAATATGTTATTTATATTGAGTAAAAGATCAAACTTATTCGTTCAGTGTATGTTTACTTGTTTTTGTTTATATGTCTTTTTGATCAAGTTAAGCCATTTTAATTGTTATGTTATAGTGTGTCTTTTTATAGTTGTAATGTTGTAATGTTACACTACTGTTTCAGGTAAGGGTGAAGGTTGGCGCCTGTTAAAACGTTAAACTCGCTGCATTTGTATGTACCTGTCCTAAGTAAGGAGCCTGTTGTTCAGTAGTTGTCGTTTGTTGGCGTGTTTCACAAGTGTTACTCGTTTCTCGTATTTTATAAAGATTAGGCCTTTGGTTTTCCTGTTTGAATTGTTTTACACTAGTCATTTTGGAGCTCTTTATAGCTTGCTGTTCGGTGTGAGCCAAGGCTTTGTGTTGAAGGCCGTACTTTGACCTATAATTGTTTACTTTTTACACATTGTGACTTTGATGGAAAGTTGTCTCATTGGCACTCATGCCACATCTTCTTATTTATATTGATGTTTTTATTTACTTTTCAAAAAATGTAAGTATGTTAATGAATTTGTTTAAAAGTTAAAGCAAAATACAAGCACTGAACAATTTGTGATATCGTGAGGCATCCATCATGGAATAGATTTGAAAGTGTTCATAATTGAGTTTCACCATTTTCTTCAAACGATATGATAAGGCTACTGCAATGTTTGCAGAACAAAAGTGTTAACAAAAACTGTCATAAAGCATGCACCATTTACCAAGTAACATATAATGATAAAGAACTGCAATTTGGGACAATTGTCAGAAATTGCTGAAACAACATTAAGAATTATAAAAAAAGTCCAAATATATATATGAAAAAAATCACATTAAAAAGGCACTGTCATAATGTAGAGGCAGCCAAATAATTGTATTAAAACGATTTTTTTCCCATTTTAACTTGAATATTACATACAAAATTTCCAATTATTAATGAAAATTCGATGTTGTCCATGTATCCGTGAATTTTCTGATGTGGACGATTGAAAATTTTAGCGTGAGTGATTTTGTTTTTCGGAGGGAGATGAATTATGTTAAATAGTTCTTATCTGTATTTTACATGTTTTACGTGCAGATATACATATATTTCTTATTATGTAAACTGTAAACAAAACAATCTATATTCTTCCAAAGTGGAATTAAGTGATTAGTGACATAACAATTGTGTGATGTTCGAATAAAAGTCCCATTAGATAGTATTTGTGCATTAGCCTGTGCTTCGACGATGGCGTTATTTAAATGATACTGTGTTATTGCAAAAATACTAATTTATGAATTACTAGTATACATTGTAATACATTGTAATAAGGATACAATTCCCTTAGACAAACGTTGACTTTAGATGATTTTTGTTGACCTTTTACATTCCAATTTGTGTGTGCATATTTTATTGCGTTAATCTACTTTTTTATGAACCACTAAAGTTATTCGAACCATACCAATATTTCACTCAAACCGAATGCTCGAATGAACCTTTTGCATAGAGTACCAGGTCCTGTGTTTGTGATATTGTCAGTACTTTGACTTTAGATATAAACAGCCCAGTCTTGACATTCTACAAACTTCATTTAACATTTTCACTATCGTCTAAAGCTATTTTCAATTCTTTAGAGGGGTTACTGGCCACGCGGTCGGGTATTAGGTGGTTCGAGTAGCATAAATCATATGATCTATGTGAGAGGAAGTCGACATGACTTTGATCAATGGGAAAAAGAGGGAGTCATGGGATGGAGCTATGAAGAAGTTCTTCCTTACTTCCTAAAAATTGAAGACATGAAAATTGAAGATCTTGTCAATTCAGGTAAGCATCAAGTTACTTTTGATTAATTTAACTTGGAATATTTTCATACCAATAACAAAATTTTAGATACAAATATATTCATAAAAAAAGACAACACATCTGAGATCAGCATTAAGGCTAATTTATATTGATAAAATTGAGAATGGAAATGGGGAATGTGTCAAAGAGACAACAACCCGACCATAGAGCAGACAACAGCCGAAGGCCACCAATGGGTCTTCAATGCAGCGAGAAACTCCCGCACCCGGAGGCGTCCTTCAGCTGGCCCCTAAACAAATATGTATACTAGTTCAGTGATAATGGACGTCATACTAAACTCCAAATTATACACAAGAAACTAAAACTAAAAATGATACAAGACTAACAAAGGCCAGAGGCTCCTGACTTGGGACAGTCGCAAAAATGCGGCGGGCTAAAACATGTCTTCTGAGATCTCAACCCTCCCCCTATACCTCTAGCCAATGTAGAAAAAACAAACGTACAACAGTACGCACAGTAAAACTCAGTTCAAGAGAAGTCCGAGTCCGATGTCAGAATAGGAAACAAAAGAAAATAAACCAAATGACAATGATAACAAATAACAACAGACTACTAGCAGTAACTGACATGCCAGCTCCAGACCTCAATTAAACTGAATGAAAGATTATGTCTTCATCATATGAATATCAGGCGCAATCCCTCCTGTTAGGGGTTTAGTATTATACCATCATAAAATATATGAGAAGAACATAACCCGTGAACATACTTTGATATATACATGAAAGGTACTTGATTTATTCACGGAAGATACTTTTATTTAGACAAAAAGAGTACTTGATTTATTCTCAAAATTATCAATAAAACAAGAGTGTATGCTGAACCAAAATACAAGGGAAAAGATAAACACTGTACAGAGTTTTGTAAATGAGAAAATAAATTGGCGGCAATTACAGATTTTATATGATATGTAATATTTCATAAGGATATTTTGATAATCGTTTTATAAACTTTTTCAATTATTTCATGAAAAAAAAAAAAATCATATATGAGTCAAACATAGTATGATTATCTAAAATATGAAAAACACAGTAAAACCAGCATATAAAGGTCAATATATCACATCAGTGGTAGCCAACCATTACTTGTACATGACAATAACACTTTATAAATGTTCAGCGACCGAAACACAATCTGATACTTGAAGACAGGGTCATTGATATACACTTTTTCTGGGTTTTTTCCGTATTATAAGATACAGTTTAGGCAAATAAGTCATCATCATATATTGAATTACATCTAGAATTTGACTACGGCAGTCGTTTAAAAACATTTTGGTGTAAATATCGTCCTGTTGAAACGTAAAACCAGAGCTTTCATTTTCATTCATGCTTTCCTTGATATATAGTTGCTGCTTTTAAAGAAGCCATTTTACCAAGGGTTCCAAGTTGTCAAATATTTTTTATGGACGCCAACACGTATTGGTTGACCGTTATGGCATATCTGTTTACCAGATGACCACGGATATTTTCATATTTGTCGTAACCATAATCCCGTCCTTTCTCTCCAATGTGACATTACCAAATGAGTGCATCACCAAATTTGTTCTTACATAATCAACATAACAGGTGTCACATGTTGAGCAGGATCTGCTTACCCTTCCGTAACATCTCATGAGATCAGCACTGGTTTTTAGTGGGGTTCGTGTTACTCAGTAATTTGTCGAGACCGGAGAAAAGTTTTACTTAAGAGAAATTCGGTTGTGAAATATGTTTCTGTTTAGGCATCGTTCTTTTTCATTACAAGTCTGAAAGATGCATTCTCTCTATGTAAAGTTACCACTTATTTTTATGACGTCACGATTGCACATTCGCAGGAGGGCAAGAAATTTGGTGTCACAATTGAATTTAAAAAAAGATAAATGATATTATACCACACTTTGGTTATAAAAAAAAAAAAAAAAAATCAGCCGGTCGGGCAAAGTATAAACCGACTAGAAAATATTTCATTCTTATCCTTTATAATAAGATGTACCTTCTTACTAATAATCATCTAAACCATTGTATTTATACACTATCTATATGACGAAATACTCATTTGTTTTAATTTGTAAAACAGTAATTAATTTATAATACAAATAGTCACGACACGATACCAAAAATGAACATCTTGAAATGATCTTAAAGGGAAATCACACTATTTATACTACTAATAATAATTCATTGAAATTTTGCATGTAGACAGATCATACTTATTAAGATATTTTAGGCGAAAAAAAAAATTGGGGTCACCGATGTTGTTTTCGAGATATGACGTCATCAAACCTTAAAGAATCGCGTTATAACGAAATATAGAAAGACCGCTCTAAATTGTTAAAAAAAGACAAACTTATTGAAAAACTATGTTTAACTGGAATAACAAAAACAGTCAAATGTAACTTGTACCTTATGAACATTTATTTGTCTCGGTTTCCTTATTTTTGAAGACATTTGAACATTTCCCGCCATTTTTAATTGCTATTTATAATAGATTTTTCTTGAAATAAAAAAAATCTACTAATGTTTTTCCCTTCAAACTTCTGCAAAAGTTGCAGCTTCAGGGAAGATTTTAAAAGCATAAATAAAAAAGGGGGGTCACCGATGTTTTAAATCCGCTAAAACGGAAATAATCTTTATTATTGAATTTTGGCGGGAACTATAACCTTTTAACGTTATAGAACGACGTTGCTGGCATAACAGCATTTCTTGCAACTCTTGGGTTGAATTAAACCTTTTCACTACAAAATATAATATCATTTTTGAACATTTTTTAAGGTATTTTGATTATTCATTGATATATTTATCAATCTATCGAATCGTTAAACATAGATACAATAACAGTTTATTATAAAGTAATTGTCTAAGTTGAAGTCATCTCATTTTTTTAATTGCATTTGTTGTATGGGGAAAACGAATGTTTGCCTCATGCCGTATTATAGAAATAATTTTCGGCTGCCAGATAAAGAATCTTCTACCTCGGAAGACTGAGGGTATCCGGGCTGAAAAGTAACACGTTCCTTTTAGACTGCAGGCAGAATAATTTCGTTACCATAATTTCACTAGCTTGTCCATTCGCACCGGGAAGATAAAACCTGAAATGCCGTGTTAAAAATGCCACAAACTCAGCACTTTAAAAGAAACCTATTTTCGGTAGGAATTTCAAATTGGTTCCGTAATTACACAACGCTTCATAATTTATTCGAACTGTGGAAACCAAATTTTTTTCTGAGTTCTATCATCCCGCACCCATTTTTCATACATCGTTTCATGTTCATTGTACATAATATGTTCAATGTTCATCGCCTGTGTATTAAAACTTTATGTACATGTATTACGTATATTCTATTACCGTTCGATTAATCGCTCAACGTTGGTATGTTATGAGAAATACAATGCATCTGATAATTTAGAGTTAATTGACAATAAAATACACATCGCCATATTGTTCCCAGTTGGTGTATTTAAAAAAATCTTTTAATTTTTAATAAACGGATCTAGTTTTTTTTCTTGTTCTGCTACATCTATCCGTGTTTCTGTGGACATGTCGATATATTTTATCTAACTCTAGTTTTTTGTCGAGCCTTCGACTTTAGTCGAAAAAGCGAGACATAGCGATCCTACATTCCGTCGTCGGCGTCGTCGTTTTTCTGCTAGGAAACAATACATTCACTCTGTGGTTAAAGTTTTTGAAGTTTTGAAGTTTTAATAAATTTCTTAAACTATCCTGGATTTCTACCAAACTTGGACAGAAGCTTGTTTATGATCACAAGATAGTATCCAGAAATAAATTTTGTAAAAAAAAATCTATTTTTTCCGTATTTTACTTATAAATTGACTTAGTTTTTCTGCTAGGAAACAATACATTCACTCTGTGGTTAAAGTTTTTAAGATTTCAATAACTTTCTTAAACTATCCTGGATATGTACCAAACTTGGTCAGAAGCTTGCTTATGATCAAAAGCTTGTATCTCGAAGGAAATTTTGTCAAAATTTTGTACCTGTTTATCCGTATTTTACTTATAAATGGACTTAGTTTTTCTTCCAGTCAACATAACATACAGTATGCAGTTAAAGTTTTTAAAACATTTATTAGATCCATAAACTATCCTAGATTTATACCAAACTTGGACAGAAGCTTCTTACAATCAAAAGATAGTATCGAGAGGAATATTTTTATTGATTTTTTTACTCATTTTTGTTGAGCCTGCGATTAACAGCAAAAGTAGGCGAGACATTGGGTTCCGTGGAACCCTTACGAATTTTTTTATCAGATGACAAATGAGAGTGTGGATAATCTTTGATGTAGAATAAGAGTTCGAGTTCCAGCTAAATTTAGAGTTAAAGTTCCAGTTTTATTTTTTGTTCGAATGTTAATGCGAGTAAGAGTTCTAGTTAAAGCTCGAGTTCCACTTAGAAACTTCCGAGTTATACTGTAAGATAGAATAAATTCTGGTAAGAGTTAAAATTTTGAGATCTGAGATCCGATGAAATTAAAAGAAAGATTGCAGTTTCTAATTTCTGTTGGTGCACCTCTCATTCTTGAATTGTATATTCTTTTATCACATTTATGTTTCAGTATGGTATAGCCTATATACTTTTTTTTGCCAAAACTGATTAATGATTGGTAATTGGAAAATAACTGATTGATTGTGTGTGCCACTTTCAGCACTCTGCTATATCATGTTGGCCATTTTTTTTTAAAGAACCAAGGTATCAAGAGTAAATCAGCTACCTCTGTATTAAACAAATGGTTGTCCTTTACAGTCATGATCGGAATCTGACAATCTCCCTATATCACTGTTTGTTGACATGCAAGTGATCACATTGAGTGATCTGAACACGAACCAACATCTGAACTACTAGTTTTTGTTTTGTTTTTGTTTTCGTTTTTTTCTTGATTTTTGCAAAACTTTCAGTGGCAAATATTACATGAATATCAGCACAAAATTTTTTTCTATATGAGATGAAACTCTTTCACAAGACGGACCTTAATGTGATGGTTACAGATTAGCACTCTGAAAGACATGTTACTCTACATAAATACATGTGTGTGTATTAAATATTTCTCTTGTTGGAGTCTTGTAAAGCCAAATATACAGTGTGGATTTTTTGTTGTTGTTGTTGTAGGCAGTACGGTCATCAATAGTACAAAAATAACTAGGCATAGTGTTTGATATTCCCAGATTGCTCTGACGTCTAGCGGCCTTATTTTTTAACTTGCTGGTCGTACAGTTCGCTATAATTGACAGTTTGAAGAAATACTACAAAATATGATTTTTTTTTGTGCCCAAATTATGTAAGCCTGTACAAAGCATTAAAGGAAGATTGAGTATAATGTACTATATAATACGGTGCTAAATTTTCTTTGATTTCGACAGACAGCAACCGATGTAAAATTTTGTATGCTTCTTTTACAGTGATGTTTAACTGGCGTTATTCTTATATAACGTTCGATATTTCAACAAATATGATTACTCTACGAATCACTCGTGTTCATGTGTTTGTGCCCCCATACCCCCCCTTCCCAAAAAAAAAAGAAACAGAGAGAGAGAGAGAGAGAGAGAGAGAGAGAGAGAGAGAGAGAGAGAGAGAGAGAGAGAGAGAGAGAGAGAAAGAGGCGTTTGACACCAAAGGAACATCGAAACTCATTGTTCTTATTTACATCCCTCTGTTGGACAGAAAACTACAAGTTCCGGAAGCTGTATGCTTACATGCTGTTACTCTTGGTATATTGTTATTTTTTCCAGTATATTCCCACATACCGCATCGCGACGATACGCTGCCAACAGTTGGGTTACACTAATGACAGAACAATTGCCCGTATTGACCGGATGAGATATAAATAGTCAGAACTTTTTTGTTATTTGATAGATTATTTTAATATTTGAAGACCTTAGAAATATTAGACTATATTTTATGAATATTTAACAAAAAAAAGTTGACCGGACGGATTTCACACTCACTGATGTACGCTTTACAATATTGAACTGATCGACAAAAAGTGTTACTAGTAATATCTCTTTTGTTTTACAATATTTTTTCATACAACTAAGAAATCTGCGATATTAATAGTTATCTTACATGAACATTTAAACTTCATAGTAAAACAAAATGTTTTTCTAAAAAAAAAAGTTTACCGGACGGATTTCACATTCGCCGATGTACGCTTTGATTATACTGAAATGATCGACAAAAAGTGTTATAAATATCTCTTTTGTTTTTAAATTTTATTTTTCTTCGTGAAACTAAAAAATCTGCGAGATCAATAAATATGTTAATATAAGAAAATATAAACTTTCCAGTAAATAAAAAAAAATTTCTACAAAAAAAAGTTGAGCTGACGGATTTCGCTACAAATAATAAAGACCAGATCAACAAAAAATGTTGATATTTCTCATATCTAACAATATTTTTCGGTGAAATTAATAAACCTTTAAGAAAAATAATTGTATAAATGGTATTGTATGTAAATACTAACTCAATAATAATAATAATAATAATAATAATATCTTTATTAAAAGAGAGTAACTCATTTGAATTAAACCCAAATGTAAGGTAATTCAAGACCATATCAAGACCACTTTCGGCTATTTTTTTGCCATACATTTTGTCCGTTTCGAGTAGCATTTTCATTTTTTGCACTTAAATCAAAACGTCATTTGCTTTCTCTTGATTTAGTGAACGTCCCTTTGAGCGGGCCGCCATTTTAGAAATTAGCAACCTTTACGACGGACTCGAAACGGTGACGTCATAATACGGTCACGACACTATAGTGGCGCCGAGAGCGATGCGTATAAACACTAGTGTGATTTCCCTTTAAGAACAAAGATGACCATAGACGATTTGTCGGTTTGTGTTAACCTTTCCTAGCTTTTAGTCTCTCTCAACGTTTAAATTTCCAAGATATTTTATGTATACCTAAAAAAACACGCGTCCTTCACATTGAAATCGGTTTTAGTCTTCGCTTTTGGAACAAAATGATGTTGCACTGGAAAAGAACCATCATTTTTGACTTCTCTTTTCAATTATGTTTTTATTTATCTTCAATACTTCTTATTGACAATTTGAATATTGAATATACTCATAACAATTTAATTTAGGTACTAACAACTTTATGTTTGCTTTGGATTTTTATATCACTTCCATGTATCATATATCAATATTGGTATTTTTTTTAATCTTACTTCAGCATACCATTCCACAGGAGGATATCTACCACTAACTAAAACCAAAGCAACATCACTGCCAAATATTTACCAGCGTGCAGTAGCGGAACTAGGTTATAAAACAGTGGATGTTAACGGAGAAGAGATGATAGGTATCAGTTTAATATGAAGATACGTATCCAATTCATCTACATATCGCACTTGTTTCTTTTATTCTTTTGCATTGCAAAGTACACGGGGAAAATGTATTTATATCCTCAGACGTTTGCCATGTTTACACTTTACAGAAAAGAAAATGATTATAGTTTGGTAAATTCTAGAATAATTTCCACTGGTTTAACATGTGATAACTTGCTTAACAGACTGGCTAGGAAACATTTGGTCTCCTGATTGACAATATGATGAAAATACAAATGGTAAGGCTAATTTCCACTGAATTAACGTATCATTTTCAAAATATTTTCCAATCTGTACTACAATGTTCATTATTACAGCTTTATGACCTTAGTATGAGTTTCTAACAACATTGCAGCAAATTTAAAAAACATATATAACTACTTCGGTTTAAAACTTCAATTGTGATAGATTTTTTGTAGAATTTTTCTTTCTCTCTACAATAAGCAATTAAGTGTTATTCCTAATTATAACTAAACAAAACTTCTATATTTCGACTCTATACAGCTCTTTTATTATAAAAGTATGTGTACATCCTTGGTTTTTAAATGCTTTGGTTTCAGCGTTACTGATGATTGTAAATCCAGAATTTATAAAGAAACTACGATTTAAACCATCTAAGGCAAAGTTAATTTTAAGTGGATTAGTCCATACTTTTAGGTCCATTTTTATTCATATAGCTTCTCAAGTATTTAACTTTTTATACATCCTTGGCTTTATAATTTTTGGGTTTAAAGGTAAATAAAAAAGCGCTTCGGATTGACAAAATTTATTAAATTTTGTATAAAGTAACAGTAAAGCTATGTTTGTTGGTACTGTTGTATATTCATTCATTGTTTTTGTTGGAAATTCTTGAATGCAAAACTTTATATAAACATGCAAATACTGTGTCAAAATTGTCAACAACACATATGCGGTGTACTGCAAATTGTTTATGTTAAATTGAATACAGTTCGGTTAGTTTTATTATATAGACGCTTTTTATCCTACTTTGTAAAGAATCACTCAAAAAATTCTCTAAAACTGACATTATCAAGATGCTTGATTTCTTGATTGACAACATATTTGTTACGTTTGGAGGACATGTTTTTCATCAGACTGTCGGAATTCCAATGGGAACCAATTGTGCCCCTCTTCTTGCCGACTTGTTTCTTTATTATTATGAGGCTGACTTCATACAGGAGCTTCTTAGGAAGAAAGATAAGAAGTTAACAATATCCTTTAATTCTACGTTCCGCTATATAGATGATGTTCTCTCACTAAATAATACAAATTTTTGTGACTATGTTGAACGAATCTATCCCATCGAACTAGAGATAAAGGATACTACAGATACAGTTAAGTCTGCCTCAGATCTTGACTTACATCTAGAAATTGACAATGAGGGTCGGTTGAAAACATAACTTTACGACAAAAGAGATGATTTCAGCTTCCCAATTGTGAACTTTCCATTTCTATGTAGCAACATTCCAGCGGCGCCTGCATACGGATTATATATCTCCCAATTGATACGATATTCCCGGGCTTGTGTTTCCTATCATGATTTCCTTGATAGAGGATTGCTGCTCACAAGGAAGATATTAAGCCAAGAGTTCCAAATGGTGAAGTTGAAATCATCCCTTCGTAAATTTTACGGACGCCATCACGAGTTACAATACCCTTCCCTTTTCACGAATGTGACTTACCTCTTTTATACTCCTATTTAAATTTCTAAATCAGTTTTAACAATTTACGATTTAAACACTGTAATTAAAATACAGCAGGAATTGACCCTAACTGTTCCCTATTCGATGAAACGTTCAAATAAGCATGAAGAATAAAATCCTCATATATAGCGGAAAAGGAAATTCTCATCGAAAAGCAACTGTTCAAAAAATTAATTCCACGGAAATTTTGTCACAATACGCGAATTGGTTAGATAAGGGACAACACCTATAGATGGTTCAAGTACTGACTACTTTTATCTGTCGTAATGAGTCAACGTTGATACAAATACAAAATCTTATTTGAAGGATATTCGCATATACAGTCAAACGTTTTAAGAGGTCAACGATGGGGCACAGCAACAGCATACTTAAGACCAGTAATTGGCCGATCAAATTTACATATCAGTACACAGTCGTTAGTAACAAAGGTAGGAGGAAATTCTAAACAAACTGTAAAACATCTCGTATCAATGAATCGCATATATCTTTCAATCTACACTCTTTCAATCATATACACTTCATATAAAAATTCACGTAGTTAAGAAAGAGACTTGATCGCTGTTAATAATGCTTAAATCCTGTCATATTCTTTATGAACCTGTCCGGAGTATATTGCACAGTGGTTGGGTTTGGTTGCCGTCTGCCTGAAAATATTTTGGGTTTTATGTGTTGAGTTAGGATCACGACATTGGGTTTCCCATTGCATTATTTGAGAGGAAAACATTCCTAATTTTGATGAAATTTTAAGTATATAAAGACAAAACGTTTTTGTAATGTACAAGTGTTTTAATTGAATAAATATAAAAATACAAAGACGTGGTATGGTTGCCAATGAGACAACTATGCACCAGATCTCAAATGACGTTGATGTAAGCAATTATAGGTCAACTCCCCTAAACCTTGGACAGTTGTGTAACAGCACAACATAAAATAAAACTGTAAAAATTAGTAGAAAACGGCTGAACTGATCAGATCGACACAAAGAACATATGCAACTAACAATAAGACAAAAGAAACACAATACAGATCTAAATGTACTCGCAGTCACTGAAAGCTATTTCAAAGCCAATTACTTCTAATGAAAAAATCATGTTCCCCAGATTAGAATATCAATTAATTCACATCCAACGAATTTAGTGTAAAGATAACATGTACAGGCTGAGGATAATATGACCTTGTGTAATTCAAAATTATAAGTATCGACAGGATGTAGGACCGAGAGTGTTCATAACTGTACACCAATACATTTTTAGCTGTGTTTTGAATTATCAATATCAGAAATGTTTTAATACCGATAATACAAATATTCAAAGATCTTAATTCTGTGTTAAATTGATAATATTCATGAATAAGTTATTCAAAGGATCGATAAGTTTACATGGATCGTATCCAATACTAAATCTTTGTATCTATAAAAGAACTAAGCTCACATATATCGAAATTATAAATGGTTCGAATATTCATCAATGGGGCGTTCACCAAGTCATTTCTTAAAATTACATAACAATCAAAGAGAAATGAAAGATGATAACTTCTAAAGATTTCGACCTGTTTAACCATGGATGCAGATAATTTCATAAGACATACGATTTTTTTATTTGCTTTCAGTCGCACTGATAGCTGAACGCACTTGCATTTTGTAAGTTCTTGTTACACAATCACATAATTAGTATCATCCAAATATTAACAAGTAGGTATTACAACTGAGGTAAAATCTGGTTATCTATCACAAAACTATAAATATTGTCAGGGAGAGCTACCGACGGTTTCGTGACATGAATTTTTAAAGGAGTATACGGACTTTAGATAAAACGACGATAGAAAATTTGATGGAAAGTTGCACAATTACTGACAAGAATGTCTAATTTTGAAAGAAGTCTACGGACCGAAGACTGAGATAATTAATAGACGATAGACACGAACACTAAGTGAAAACAATGGCTTAGCACATAGATTTTGGCTGTTTGAGGAAAAACGTTTGACCATTTAAAGATTGTTATGATTGATACTAGATAAAACCAAATAAAATTATATGAATCTTTTTTTCAGATATTGATAGAAAATAAAATTGCAATCGGCATCGAAATGATAAAGAACGGGCGTAAAATGATCTTCTCGGCCAACAAAGAAGTTGTTTTATCAGCGGGTGCTGTAAACTCACCACATCTACTAATGCTGTCTGGTATAGGACCAAAGGAACACTTGGAAAAACTCAAGGTTAATCGGTTAATTCTTTCATACACTGCCAATCTTATGATTTATCTTAAGTTTTGACAAGTGATACATGAATAGGAAGAAACTTGTACCCATTCGGCATTTCTTTTCGTGGTATTTTGGAAACTAGTCTATTGAAACTTGAAATTATTTTCCAGCATTTTTTTTTACATTTGATCGTTTTTTTACAGATAAATGTTCATGCAGACCTACCAGTTGGTGAGAATTTAGAAGATCATATGTTCTTTTTTATGAAATATAAGACTGCTGATGAACTAAGTGTTTCAATCAAGTCCACAAAGAGTTGGTGGAATATTCTGAAATATTATTTGACTGGTGAAGGTTAGTAAACATATGTTTTACAAAAAAATAAACATTGTTTCAATGAAAATGTATTGATAGGTGTTTCTGAAAATAGCCCTCATTCAACCTGTTTTCATTTCATTTCATTTTGTCTTTATCTAATGCAAAATGATTTGTATCATATGTTTCTTAAAGGGGCATTAGTTAATACTACACAAAGAATTAGGCATAATTTTATTCGACTGTCATACAAGTCAGAGGTTTAGCTAGCTTTACAACCAGATTTAATCCACCATTTTCTACATAAGGAAATGCCTGTACCAAGTCAGAAGTATGACAGTTGTATTCCATTCGTTTGATGTTTTTGAGCTTTTGATTTTGCCAATTGTTAAAAATATTGTGATGAGATATAGTCAACCAGTGGTGTGAATCTATTGTGGATTCTTAAAATTTTTAAAGATCTACTGCTTAATCTTAGATCACAATATCTGCAAATTTGCAGCAACATTAAGACCTTTGATTTGTCTACACTTTACACTACTATTCCCCACGTTCAATTGAAAGATCTACTTCACCATCTCATTAAACAGAGCTTTTTCTATAGAAATGGGAATCGTTGATATAATTGTTTTGTTTTGGGTTATAATAATTCTTATTTTGTGAAGAACCACACTGAAAATACACTGAGTTTAGAGGATTGATATTTTAACAGACAGTCGGTATTCCATTGGGTACTTATTGTGCAACCCTTCTGGCTGACTTGTTTTTGTACTCGTATGAAGCAGAATTTATTCAGAACTTCTAAAAGACAAAAAGAAAAAGCACATTGCAAATTTCTTTAATTTTAATTTCAGATATATTGATGATGTCCTATCACTGAATAACCCATTTTTCAGTCAGTACTTGCATCTCTTAAATCCCAGTTAACTTGAAAATAAGGATACTACTGATCCTAGAAGGACTGCTTCATACCTTGATCTTTTACTCAATATTGACACCGATGGACGACTTCACACTAAAATCTATGACAAACGGGATGATTTCAACTTCCAAATTATCAATTTCTCATTTCTCACCAGTATCATACCCTCTGCTCCGTCATATGGTATTCACATATCTCAATTGATACGTTATGCTCGTGCATGTTATCACTATACGGACTTAATATACGGGAGTATGCTCCTTACGCAAAAACTGCTCAAAATGAGTTGTGAGGAGGAAAGATTAAATATTACACGTAAATGTTATGGACACCATCACGAATCGGTTGATCTATACGATGTATCTGTGTCTAAACTAACTAACGACATTTTTACCCAGTCTTAAATTGTGGTTTAACATCTATGTCAGCTGTGTACTAAGTACCGAACGTGACCATATTCACTAATATGACAACATTCGTTTTTTAGTTAGGATGTTTCTTTTGTGGGTTCGGTTTGATATTGTGTTATGTCTTATCGTTTGTGGTTTGAATTCTGTATTTTCGGTACATTTCACATATGTCTTATTTGTCAGTATAGCCGAGTTAATTTCCATTTTCCGTTGATAAAGTGTTGTGTTAGTCCAAAAAATTATGACGACATCACAGCATTAATTGAAAATAGCCTTTCAGTACCGTCATAATCATGATAATTGTTTGGAGAAGTATTGATAAGATAATTGTATGAATTTCAAGAATATATATACGTCACAAAAACACGTCACTGTCTGTGGTGTCCTGTGCTGTCGTTAATGGAAGATGTTTATTGTTATGCTGTGCTGAGTGTTCTTGTGTTTGTTTGTGCTGTATTTCTGTCATGAAATTGAGAATGGAAATGGGGAATGTGTCAAAGAGACAACAACCCGACCATAGAGCAGACAACAGCCGAAGGCCACCAATGGGTCTTCAATGCAGCGAGAAACTTCCGCACCCGGAGGCGTCCTGTAGTGATGTTATTTTAGCGATCTTTTTTAACATTGCCATATAAGCGGGAGGTTTGGCTAGCCATAAAACTAGGTTCAACCCACCATGTTTTATTAAAATGTCCTGTACCAAGTCAGGAATATGGCAGTTGTTATCAAAGAGTTCGTTTCTTTGTATGTTGACGTTTGTTTTTGTTGCACTTCAGTGTTTCTATTATTCCGTTGTTTTCCTCTTACAGTGGATGTGATTCCCTCGGTTTTAGTTTGTAACCCGGATTTACTTTCTCTCAATCGATTTATGACTTGTGTATTGCCGTATACCACTGTTGCCTTTATTTAAGGGACTTTCCGTTTTGAATTTTCCTTGGAGTTTGGTAATTTTATTGTTTTTTTAATTTTCATTAAGTACCCCCTACTACAAAAAAAGCAACAACAAAACATAATACAGTTGATTCCGTAGGGTGCTATATCAAACTCTTTCAAAAAATGAAAATAGGATTTGTTTATAAACATTTATAAAAGCGGAAAATTGAAATGATATTTACCTATTAGCAGTCAATTTAGTTCAATTTTATTAAAATAGCTCAAACACATCACAGATATAAATTTGCTTGCAAGTCAATAGTTCAACCTTATTTAGGTTATTCAATTATTAATGTGACCGTTAATTAAACTTTTGTTGGAGATTGGTAGGTCCTTTGCTCAGAACGTCCAGTGATTGAAACGAATATCATATGGAGAATTCAAACTAAGGATGAACGATTTAATCGATAGATTCGATCCGTCAACAAATCTGTATTATACAGGTTATATGAAAATAATCTACATTAAACTATATAGTTTGTATCTTTGAAAGGAAATAAAAAAAAATTTAGAAAAAACAACCATATACTATCTGTATATTTGTATTTATGTTTACCTGTCTGCTTTTTAAAGGTATGTGGTTACCAGGGTCACATCGACAGTTTTCTTGAGTCATGTCTATAGTTAAACATAAGAATACACACAAAATGTTCAAGACATTGTGTATTGCTTTCTTTGGAACTGTTGCAATTCTTTATTACGTTTTAGAATATATTAATCTATTGATGATTTTAAATATATATGATGGACATTAATTTGGAGCTGAAACTCCTTTAACGTTCGATGTTGTAAACAAAACGAAACGCATTCCAACTTTTTGTTAGGTATTCACTTAATATTGAATTATGAAGTTCAGCATATTTGCTATTAATCCTCTTCCCACTAAACACACAGATCAAAGGCAATATACAGGAGAAATACAATATCAATATATTTTGCGAATTTGATAAACCTTCACGTAACAGGTTCATAGAGTCGAAAATATGTCCAAGAAAATGGTTAATTAGATATTTGATTTATCAAATCGAACACAGAATAACACTAGAAAAAATAAGTGTCCTTATAATATAGGGTGAATGCAAACGAAATTGATGATGTTTACAACTGATATTCGTTCGATTTTTTTCCGAACAAGTGATGGAGAATTTCAAAAATAATGTCATAGTATGCAAGTAAAATGTCAGCTTACAAATCATATCTATTTACTTTACACATTATTTTTATCAGGAATATATTCTTTCGCTGGTAACGAAGGACTTTTATTCGACAAAAGTACCCAAGGTAACCATTCCTTACTTTATCCTGATTATCAACTACAATTTTACAGTGGAACATCTAAAGGAAACGACGTACCTGCTGATACTGGCTTAACATTTAATTTTAATGAGTCGGTGAGTAATATGCCCGTATTATTATGACATTTTATTGTAAAAACTACTCACATATACCAGAATAAAATATGTTGTACGCGAGTTTTGTCACCATTAGATATAAGATTCGTTAGTGGACTTATTTATGTTATTTAAATGAGTTTTTAGAGGATTATAATTAAAAATAAAAACGTTTTTCCAACGTTGGCTTGGCCCATATATATATTGTATTAATAGAACTATTGTGACGAAAGGTTTCAACATGTTATAAATGAAAATTGACAGAAATGAAGTGTAATTTGTTTCATCTTACCCCTATACATTTCTAGGAATATGATTGGTTAAAAGCAACGCGTGAAGTCTGTGTGTATATCATATTAGGTTAGTATGCGGAGCTTATTTCAATACCCGGTTAGTAGTGGTGTTACGTCCATTTATAAAATCAACACGGTGTTGAGGATTGAAATAAATTCATAAAACACATTTAACAAGTTGTCATTGTTGGCATTTGTTTTTGTATAGACAAATGGAAGTAAGTGTTAATACTAAGTTTTGAATTAAACAATTTGATAGGCCACTGGTCTAAATACCACATGGTAAGATAGTCGGTAAGATAAATTCGATACACAGTGTGCTAGTAACCTAATACGATATATATGGGGTCAGTAAATTCCATTTATATCGTATTAGGTCACTAGCACACGATGTAACTAATAATATCCCAATATCCTACCCAATGCATATATAATAAAGATAATCATTTATGTAAGATTTAAATTCCCTAAAAGACTGGATACTTTCATGTATATATTTGATTGCTTTGTTTAATTTTTAACATGTGTGTTCCAAATTAGAAATCATATTAATGGAACATATACCAACTGTCTCCTGGTGTGTTTTGTAATCTGTGGTATTCGAAAAAACGAACAAAAGATAAACAAAAGTATACAAAACACAATATAGAACACTTACGACTGAGCAACACGAATTCCACCAAAACTTGGAGTAATATCAGGTGCTCCGAAAGAGTAAGCAGATCTTACTCAACAAGTGGCACCCGTATTGTTGCTCGTGAAAGTGCAAACCGAGTGATAAATTTTATTCGTTAGGTCACGTGCGATGAAGCGAGGACGGGATTGTGGTTACAACAATTTGAACATTTCCGTCGTCATCTTCGAAAGGTCAACCAACTCGAATTTCGTCCGTAAAATGTTCGAAGGGATGATTTCAGCTTTGAACTTTGGATTGATAGCTTCGTTGTAAGCATACACAGTCTAACATGATAGGAAATGCGAGCTCTAGTTTAACGTATTAACATGGAGATATATACTCCATATGCAGGTGCTGCTGGAATGCTGCTACATAGAAATAGAAATTTCACAATGGGAAGCTAAAATTATCTCTTTTTGGCGAAGAGTTTAGTTCTTAACCGACCCCATTGTCAATTTTTAGATGTAACTCAATACAATTTAATTGTTTGTTTGGCCATGTAGGCCGAGTGGTCAAGAAGGACCAGACAAAAAAAAAATAGCTTAATACTCTCCCTTGTTATCCAGACAACTTTACTGCACATAATCTTTATGTTCCCTATACCTGATAAAACCAAAATGCCATGGTTAGAACTGTCGAATCTCTTTATTAAAAAAGATTCAACTGTTAGAATGTGCTGAAAGGGATGATAAGTTTAGCGATGAACAGTAATCTATTAAAATCAATGAACTTTTATCTACCTCACTTTCACAATTGTATAACTCAAAATTAAACGTCATATATACTGCATTAACCAAAATGGATCACATTTATACCCAGATATTTAAATTAAGAATTCTTGGAATGAAAAGTTTTCGCCAAGGTTATGTCTGACTTCGCAATGCATAACAAAAAAATCAGGAAATATTTTGGCGTGCAATAAACACTTTTTTTTTTGTTCTGTTCAATGTTTTTAGGAAGGTTGTTTTTCTGTTTGTTTGTTTGTCTCTTGGCTCGTTCATTCCTGTTATTGTCTGCCTTTTCTACCGGAAACAAAAAAGGAAAATCGAACAATACAAATAAGCAATAATCAGGTGTAAAATTGGTTTATATAGAAAAATAAAAAAAGTTGTGATATGATTGCCAATGAGACAACTCTCTGCCAGAAAGCAAATGACGTTTACAACAATAGGTCACAATACAGCCTTCAACAATGAGCAAAACCAATATCACATAGAAAGCTATAAAAGTCCCAGAAATGAAAATATAAAACAATTCAAACGAGAAAACTAACAGCCTGATTTATGTACAAAACAATAAACAAAAAACAAATATAGTATACATTAAGAAAAGACAGTTGAACACGGCATAATTCATCAGATCGATACAAAGCACACAAAAACTAACAAAACACAAAGACACAAAGACTGTATTTTTAAGTTTTCACTTTACCCATAGCAATTGTATTGATTTATATGTTGTCTTCGACAATATATTGATATCATACATTGATCATTATTAAGTAAGAACAATAGCACTGAATACTTTCCTTTTGGAATTTTTATTTATTGCTATTGGCTTTGAACTAGCCTTCGGTAACTGCCGGTACTCTTAGATTTGTACTTAGTGTCTTTAGCTTTCTTTATCTGTTTTTGTACTGTGTACAGATCTGATTAGTTCAGCATATTTCAGATGATCTGTTTAATTACAGTTTGATCGTTGTTGTGCTGTTACACTACTGTCCTAGTGAAGAGCTAGTGTTGAACACCTGCAAACATGTTTAACCAAGCCATATTATATTTTGTATGTGCTGTAACTCATTGGTTGTTGTTGCTGTAACATATTTCTTGTTCGATTATTGTTTTGTACATTGACCAATCAATTGAAGGCCTTACGGTGACTTATAGTTGCAAACATCTACGTCATATGGTGTCTGGATGATAGTTGCCTAACTGGCAATCATACCACATCTTCTTATTTTATAAATTTATGACACGATTCAACAGGTATTGGAAGTAGCAGCGCGTCGATCAGATGACAATGAAATACTCATCTTTCCAATGTTATTGCACCCAAAGAGTATTGGAAGTATCAAACTTAAAAGTAGAGACCCATTCGATCATCCATTGATTAATCCGAATTATCTGTCACAACAAGATGATGTGAATATTCTTATTGAAGGTATGAATCTGTGGAAATTAGTAGTACGTGTCTCAATATTGCTGCATTTGTGTTTACAATTAAAGGTTAATATAAGCAGCACACACAATCATGCCTTGCAGTGAGGTTTGCGCTTTTATAAGCCTAATTAAGAACAAAACATAATGGCTGTCGCTTTGATTTTGATTTTCAATAATGACAATACAATAAAGATACCACAGATTAACATTTTACTTTAAATAAAAGAAGCTGCATTCATGTATTAACGATTACAACAAATCATTCAATGATCAATGATCAATTCAATGAGATTCCCATACCCTTTTATATAACATATACTAGTATCTTAGATATAACGTTTTATATCTTTTGTTAGAAACCAAATTATATGGTGAAGAGATAATCGACATGATCCTGGGCATGTTATGCATGAATGTTATATCAATATAAGTACTTATTTTGTTTGTGAATAGACCACAAACAACGCATAAAAAGCCCAGAAATTTGGATATGATGTTGCGTATGTTAAGGGTAAAGATATGATATTATGTCCATGCGTTAATGTGTTGTTTTACTATTGAAGAGATTTTAGTATCGATTGGTATAATAACATAAATATAATAAAGCATGTAATTACTGTACGTTATTTTAAAAGAAAAATGTATTTTCCTGGAAGAAATAAACATTCTTTGAAGAAAACATAATCATATTTCATTTTTAATTCATATAGCTGTGCGAAAAGTACAAAGTATTGTCAAAACAAAACCCTTCCAAGAAATAGGTGCAACTCTTAACAGACTTGACTATGAAGGTGTGTGTGATAAGGAAGAGTTTGATAGTGATGCATACTGGGAATGTCTGATACGTCACTATTCTGTAACAGCATATCATCCGACATGTACATGTCGCATCGGCAGCACAAATGATCAAACCTCAGTTGTTGATACAAAACTTAGGTATTGTCTGTTAATTGATAACTCAACATTCACAAGAGTGCGTTTTTTTAACTAATGTTCGCTTTATTAATTTTAAATATCTATAGTTGATATATTTAATAAGTATTATTTGATGATAATTTATATTTAAAAAGTACATTATTGTTTCAATTTCGGAGACGACTAAACGTGACGCGTGGTGTTTATTATACTTAATATTCATAATTCAAAATACCCACTGACATGATTTTTAATTTAACGAAACATTTTAATAAAACAAATTAATATAACATATCGTGTTCCTTTTATGCCAATTTAATCTTGCAGGAATGAGAATGTTGAATTTTATTATATAGGTATTGTGTATGATTTCCAAAATGACAGACAATCATCTATACAATTAATTTTGTGTATATAAGTATTGATATTTACAGAACGACATTTTGGGCAGCTTAACTCAGACGTGTATATTTCAGAAACATGTATTTTCAATAGACTGAAGCGTTTAACATTGGTTTTACATGTAAAACAAATATTAAATATATTAATTTCTGGCCTATGTTATGTTTCTCATAATTGCATACCGCTGTGCATGTTACATTAAATTCTTTATCAGATCAGGGTTTGCTAACATTTTAATCCCACCCCTTAAACGCACATACTACGCATTGTTAGCAGGTTGATAATATTGAACACATTTTTTTTTCATGATTGTACAATGCATGTGTTTTTTCATCTTGTCGTGACAGGCAGTAGGGTTAACAGCAGAAAAGGATATTCCTATTTAAATTCAGCCGACCTAAAGAAAAAAAGTTGTTAGTTTAATTTTTAAATTAATAACGTTTAGTATGATAATCTAAATATGGTTTACCTTTTCTTTTCTCAAGAGTGAAAGGTATAAGAAGTTTACGTATTGCCGACGCATCAGTGATGAGGCATGTCACGTCTGGTAATACAAATGCACCAACAATAATGATCGGTGAAAAGGCGTCTGATCTTATACGTGGCAAGGATACAGTCAGCAAATTTAGGAAGCAGATTAAACAGCTTAGACTGTAGTAGTCATACTTTATCTTATTAATACTATGAACAATGTACCAACCAAATGATATGCTTGTGAATAAAAGAACAATACTATTATTGACTGAATAGTGTCAGTGCTTAACAGATACTAATTTATATAGTAAATGAGGAATATGAGTTTCAGGAATTGACCATGTATTTCTTACTATTCAATAAGGGTAACAATATGAAAAGAAATATATCACACATTTTGTACATGACGCGACATAACAATATATATTATTTTGCGTCAAATTTATATTCTTTATGATTAGATAAAATTAAATTTGAAGAATTTTCTAATAATTAAGATTTTAAATGCAATTGATACATGCAAATTATAGTCAATAAGGTGATATTTTTCAATTAAATCCTTAAGTTAGCTCAACATTATTAAGTTTTATAACTAATTTTTCGATAATACGAATATGCTTATCATGGTCAAACTATAAGGTATATGACATTCATGCATAAATTATTTACATTTGACATTGTTTAAATGTTCTAGTCGATATTTATTGACCATTTAAAAGAATACATTACTTTTTTTATATTTTCTTAATACACGTAGAGCACTCTCTGCACTATATATACAAAGTTCATTTAATGTAGCGGTATGGACTATGACATTTTTACAAAACTACTAGAACACACCCGCGATATAGCGGGTCCGTGACTGAATTAAAGTACCTACGCCTTATTTTTTGCCTGGATTTTACGTATTCGTATTGTCATGCTGATTATAAGGTTCACAGTTTTCTCTACTTTCAAAATCTTTCTGTTTGAACCTGTCCAGTTTTTATTACTTGAATACAACCGGAAACTACATATATTTGTTTTTTTTATATTTTGCATTTTTTATATTTTATGTGAGTGTGTGTTCGTTTGTTTTATTGCGTTTTTTTTAATTTTTGGGGTGAAGGTTATCTTTCTGGTAGGAAGACCCGTTACGGCCAGGCTGGGAAACTTGGTAGTGAAATGCTCAAATTAGATCTGTACCAATACCGTGTGTTAAATGCCATCCTTTACATAATAACAAATGGTGGTGCTCCTATTAAAGGAGGAAGATACAAAACATACATACATGTGACATATAGTATATACTATTGGTATCGGTGTCGGATTCGACCCGAAACTTGTTAATTATTGGTAATATTAATTATGTGGAAAACAAAAGGGCCTTGAATGGTGTAATTTTTAATCAACACTATTGTCCTATACAAGTTATATATAAAGTTTAATTCTTTGATTCGTCGTGTTTACGTCATGCCGGCTAACAAACTGGACCTCGTTATTTTAGTAGTATAGATGTAAAAGTCTTGCTCAGTCTTTCTAATATGAATCGAGTACTAGTATTTGGGGCATATCATAACACAAACAATTAGAAACTGTTCAAAACAAAGCGTGCCGATACTACCTATGTGCTTTCAAGAACACCCTCAAATCTAGCTATACGTGGAGACATGGGATGGTCTACGGTAGAGACTAAACACAATGTTGAAGTTTTGAGAATGTATTTCAAACATACTAATTTAGATGAAAATAGACTTGTAAAAGTGATACACGAATCGAGTAAATCAAAACAGCGCTCCTGGCATTTTCGTGTACTGGAATTCATTCGAAGATCTGAAATTAGTTGTTTGATGAACGCTCAAAATATGACAACCCGGCAAAAAGTTAGTATTTCAAAGGACAAGTTAAACAGTATAGATGCTGAAAATTTGTTAAATGACTTATCTAACGATTGAAACTGTGAACATGGAAATAGAACGTTCAGACAGTACACAATATATCTTCAACCAAGCAGTTCTGGGAAATCTACAGAGTTTAAAGACAACCGTAGAACTCTATCAAACATTCGTTGTGGCTCTTTAACACTCGCTATTGATACAGGATGTTACTCTAGACCAGTTACACCTTTAAGTGAAAGAAATTGTCAATTTTGTAATATGAATACAATTGCAACTGAGCAAAATTTTTTGATGAACTGTTATTTTTATTCGGACTTGAGAGAGGAACCTTTTAATTCATCTATTCTATCAAATGATGTTTTTATTAGCTTGAGTGTGAATTTAATTTTATCATGAGCTGTGACGACATTAAATTTTTATTAGCAAAAACCATGCATTTTATGTTCAAGTGGAGAAAGATAAATTCATAACAACTAAAGAGTTTAAAGACTTTGATTTGTTTGATTATTTAATTACTTTTTAATCATTTTTAATTTTGAAAATGATCTTAAAATTGTGTATGCATTTAATGCCATAAGGTTAAAGTGTCTCATATGTCTTTTTAAGGCAGGACTCTAATATATTTTATGCTGCTTTTATCTGTTGTATAATATATTATGTATAATATTAGATTTTGTGACACTGTAATAAACTATTTACTTACTTACTTTACTTTCTTACTTACAAAAATGATAATATTGGTTTGTATATACAAATGTGACATATAACTCTTGGTTAAACAGAAGTTAAGTATGTAAACAAGTTTTGGTCATGATGAATATTTGTGATTCCATGTGCAAATCAAAGGTAAAACACGGTGCCTCGATGAATGAAATACTAGTAACGAAAACACACGAGGGTAACCGAGGAATAGAACTTTGCATAATTCTTGGGGATGTAGCGCTTTCAGTTCATGCATAAAATAGAATACTAATGAAAGATGTTGTTCCAAAAGCAAAATTGATTTTATCGGTTTATAGTACGACAAAAACAAAAAAAAACAAACAAATAAAAAAAGATTTGAATGATGTTTTGATTGTTATGTTTTTTCTATTACAGCGGTAACGTGAAATCTATGGGTTTTTTTTTGGGTAAGCAACTGAATGCGCAACTAAAGGGAAATACAAGAAGCCAATCGACTAAAAAATTGATACCGATAGTTTTAACCTGATACTGTACTAAATGTATTTCGTTAATAAGAATTAAAAACGTAACTTTATATGTTTTGCAATACTGTTATTAACACAAGCGGTCCTAAATCCCGTCGATACTTATATTTCGCTTTGCACAATGTCATATGTTCTCGCACTGTTTATGATGTATTTACTATAAATTAATTGGGATATTATTGATATCTAAGTCTGGAAAACATAAATTATTTATTAGTTTTAACTGGCTTTGAACTAGCTATTAGTAACTGCGAGTACTCTTAGATCGGTTCTTAATGCGTGCTTTGTGTTGATCTTATGAGTCATTTCCTTTTAAAATGATTGTTACAGTTTGTTCAATTGTTTTGCTGTTACATGTACACCCCTATCCCAGATTAGGGGAAATGTTGAGTGCACGCCAACATCTTTAACATCGCCAAAGTTTGCATGTGCCTGTCCTTATTCCAGTAAATCAGTGCTAGTCATTGGTTGCTGTCTGTTATATTTGTGTTTCGTTTATTGATGTAAATATACATCGTGCTGTGTTTTCTTGTTTTTAATTGATTTTTTACATTTTTTCATGTCGGGGTCTTCTATAGCTGACTTTACGTTATGGGTGACACCATTTTATCTTTTTATTTTCTGAAAGCATATTATAAAACCTATCCTTTCATATTTTATTTCAAAATTCTATCTCATAGATTTCTTTTTAATCACAAAAATGCGTTTTTTCATGAACAATCTATGCAAATTTGTGTAATTTTTGCACGAATTATAGCTTGAAAAATATCACGGTGACACATACTTTTTATTATATTTTTGAAAGCATAGTAAAATCTTCATTTAAATAAAGCATAAGAAAATTTTATCTGAGGAAATATATACCGATGATCCACCTTAAACAAGGTAAATGTTATAAGTGTCAGATTTTTTTACACGGGATTCAGTTAAAATGATATTCTTGTAATATGCATTTTTACTAACATCTTAAAGTACACTTATAAAGCATCAGATTTAAAATTAAACAACATGAGAGAGGTGCATATTCAGTTTTATTATTTTAATAAGTTACATTACATTCCATAACAGTATCTTAATACTACAGTTTACATATTATTTTATTAATTCAAAGTTAGATTTATGTTACCAATACAGTTTTTTGAAAAGACAGAGCAAGGGACGACAAAAATTGTAAAAAATACCACAAAGTATAACAGATCACAGCAATCACCAAAAATCCGAACACAAACCTGACAAACAAAGAAAGAGAAACATCAGCTAACAACATATGATCCAGATACATGTACGTTCACAAAATGTAGCAGTGTTACTAAGGAAACATTTTTGACACTAGGCTAATCACCACTTTTTTTTATGGTTCTACAATAATGAGAGCTTAGAGACGGTCGATGACTTCTGTTACTTGAGATCTAATTTAAAATTCATTGGAAAATTTCGATTTTCACAGAAGAAGCTGGCAAAACAAAGTCGAAAATCAATGTTTGCCATGTTATCTACGCCAAGGAATTACCATTTAAATACTCAATCTCTCCTGTCTCTATTTGATGTGTACGTAGGTAGTATAATATCTTACGCATGTGAATCTGGGGATTCTATATAGTGATGATGTCGAAAAAAGACAACTTTGTGTAAAACAGTCTACAAATTCTGCTATGATATACCTGGAACTAGGAAGACTTCCAATGATTGTTAAAAGGAAAATTCTAATTTTCAAATATTGGTTCAAAATCCTGTCAACAAATAAGCTCCGTATATAAGTAATGTGTATCGATATTGATCGAAAACGTTCAAAATCTGTAAATTAGGCAAAGTTAATTAGAGATGAACTAAACAATATTGTAACATGAATGGTACTTTTTCCTTTGATCTTCAAGTGAGTTAACTTCGGTTATTTCAAAGAAGTGTGTTAACTGAATGATTTTTTAGTCATTGAACTCTTCAATTCCGCCGTTGACCGAATCTCGTTGGAATAGCAAAGAATGGGGGGAGCTTAAACCAGTGCTCTAACTTCCATCTCAGAAGTTGTTAATGCACAGTCTGGCTCCACCGCCATCGAGAAGTAAATAATGATAAAATGAAACAAACTGATGAAATAGAAATGACTTTACCTACTGTTATTCTGGTTGGATTCCTGTTTTTATCTTGCCGAAATTAATAATATTCTAAGAAAATATATGTCACTGGGTGTTTAGTAATTTTATAAAGGTCTATCTCCGTGAATTGATCATGGTTCAAGTATTTGTCCCTGAACCTTACTCGCAATCAACAACCATTCAAATCAATTAATCGATCTTTTAATAGTTTTTTTGAATGGAAAAATAGTATTAATTTAAAACCAATTGGTCTTCCACTTCTAAAGATTTATTTTTATATGAAAATATTAAAATTCGGTTTAAAATATCATTACCAGTGTCAAATGATAGCTAATTGTTTGCTGATTCCAAAAAAATATATGGTTTCTATATAACTTTGTTTGAAATAAGGGAGGTTATTTGTTACTTCTGGTCTTATTTGATAGTTTATTTGAAACTGCTTTCAAAAATAGATTGTTCTATATACTTGTACATGAAATAAGTATAAAAAATAGCCATTTCCGGTTTACACAAGGTCACTTCTGGTTTGCTCTTTCAAAGCCATATGGCTTGTAACCTAATGCACAAAGTCCTATGGCTTTATGATGTATAAATATGAATTTAAAGCAAAGGTCAAAATCTAGGTCGTCAAATTTACCTATGACCTTGACATCAATTTCAAGATCATAAACCAAGGACCTCAAATCAAAAGACAGTAGGTCTTTATTATATATGGTTAATAAGTTATATCATCATACGCGTAATTTTTAATAAATAAAAGGGAAAAAACTCCCAGTTAATGTCAGCGTACTCTTTCAACAAAAATGTATGTGTTACGACATGTCGCAACTAACAATTTAGTAAGAATATGTTGTCGATATCTTATATGGTTTTTGAAAAGAAGTTAAAATAAGCCAAAATCAAAATTTAGAATATGACCTTGACCTTTGACCTTGACCTAATTTTGTTTTTTTTTTATACCAAGGACCTGAAATCAAATGACCCTAGGTCTCTATCACTTATGGTTTACAAGTTAGAAATGCATATCACTTATATCAAATGCATAAGGGGGAATAACTCTCATATGGAGTATCCGGATAGCTTCGATCCAAATGGTCATCCTAATCCTAAAGATGTAACGAGCAATTTGGTAAAATAAATTTGTCGTAAACTTTTACGGTTGCAAAGGAGTAGTGGACACAAGAAAAACAGTGTTTGGGGAGATAACTCTTACAACGTAAAGTGTTCGGTTAAGCAGTGTCAGTTTCAAAAGCGTATAAACTGTACGATATTATATTCCAAATATCTAAGCGACATCTTATAAAACAACAACACAATGCAAGAAAAAATTAGGCGGAAGAACAAAATAATAATAATCAGAACAAAATCAATAGGTCTTTCCACGGAAAAGTGGAAAGACCTAATAATCAGAACAAAAGCAAAAGTGGAAAGACCTAATTACTTACATATATTGGTATTGGAAAATGTTTCCTTCTTATCACATCGTTAAAACTCCTTTGAAACTACACGTCCGTTTCGGGTTCAAGGCAGATAAGCATCGAATAAAATTTTTCATCTCTCTCCCTCCTTTTTCAAGAAATTTCGGGGAGAAAAAAACTTGGACTTGGAGATATGTGGTTTAAACAGTCAGAGCTCGTATTTGAGATTGGTTTTCCTCTTATTAAACAACGACTTTAAGATATTAAAAACAGGAGATGTATTCGTTAATTGATAGCAGTAGCAAGTGTCGTATCTATTGATACATTATAAACAGCTTTGATTTACAATTTTTTTTGACAAAGTATATCCCTAGCTACTGTGTACCTGAGAGCACTTTCAAACATAAGGTCTAGGCAAAGTGTGTTTAAATTAATTGAACTTTTGAGTTTACAGAAAAGTTTTTAAAATCAAAAATTTAAACCTAGGTAGAATTATAAATGATGTAAATAGCACTTAATGTTAAACACTTGTTTTTAAAAATTCAAAATTTCACCTGTATATAAAGTTTTAAACCTAAGCACCTCACCACACTGTGTAAATTTATGTCTAAATATTTGATTAAGCATTAAACCCATATATCCCAAGTGGGAGTGCTCCGATATATAACGGAGGAAAATACCTGTACAGAACAGAACATCAAACACTTAACCAGTTTAGGAAAATAAATTTTTACTGCATTTAAAATCAAAGACAATATCATAACATGAACATTCTCTGTCTGTTTACTTGTTTACCTTGAAATTTTGTATTGACACCGATGAACTGTAAAGTTCAAGGTAATAAGGAATTTGAATTTGAATTATTTTAAAAAGTAAAATAATTCAAACCGGTTTTCAGATTAATATGTCATAGAAAATGTTTCCTATAGCTTCGACATGCTTTATGAACTACTTTTCTGCTATCGATTAGCTTATATTAAATGTTGT